TAGCAGACAATGGGTGAGTGATCATCAGGTTTGTAATTCTCCTTGAAATATCAGGGATTATTTATAGTTAAATTTTTTTTTTTTGCTAAAAACTTAACCAAGATTAGTAGTGTAGTGTTCAGAACCTGATCCAGACATTCCTTAGACAGTAAGGTAGCTCTGCTATTATCAGAAACACTCAGTTTGAAGAATTTTAAATACCCAGAACATCAGGCCTGATTACAGATCAAGTATGGCTGTGGTAGTGGTTATGGTTCTGCCCTTTTGTTGCTTCTAGAGAGCTAAACAACTCTGAGACCCAGTGGTATTTAAGGAGACCCATGTTGATAAAAGCAGAGGCCCACAGAGTTAAGGACTTACACTAGACCTTCATTTTTTTCAAATAGCACTAAGATTCTACATATGCATGAAGAAAAGAGATATACTGAGTTTTGGCAGGAAGGTAGGGGATGGTAAGATGGTAACATATTCCATGGTTTAGAAGTGATGGCAATTAGGGAGGTATTAAGAAATCAGAAAACATAGTTTCAAGTTTTCCTTTTCTCTCCATGTCACCTTACATATGTGCCCAACACTGCCTGTGACTTATTTGTATCATCTGTAAAATTGGGATAAGTAGATTGGAATAAAAGTTAAGTGACACAAAAGATCTCAAATAGCCAAAGTGATTCTGAGCAAAAAATCCAATGCTGGAGGCATCACAATACCCAACTTCAAACTATACTACAGAGCCATAACAATAAAAACAGCATGGTATTGGCACAAAACAGACAGGAAGACCACTGGATCAGAATAGAAGAACCAGACATAAACCTATGCATCTGTAGCCAACTGATCTTCAACAAAGGAGCCCAAAACTCATGATGGAGAAAAGATAGCCTCTTCCAACAAATGCTGCTGGGAAAACTGGATATCCATATGTAGAAAACTGAAACTAGATCCCTGTTTTTCACCCTGTTCTAAAATCAACTCTGAGTGGATCAAAGACATTAATACAAGGCCTAAAATTTTGAAACTCTTCCAGGAAGTAGTAGGAAATACACTGGAACAGATAGGTATAGGGAACAACTTCCTAAACAAAACTCAGAAGGCTCAGCATCTAAGAGAAAGAATGAACAAATGGGACTGCATCAAACTAAAGAGCTTCTGCACAGCAAAAGAAACAGTCACCAGACTCAAGAGACAACCCACAGAATGGGAGAAAATCTTTGCCAGCTACTCACCTGATAAGGGACTAATATCCAGAATCTACAGGGAACTCCAAAAACTCAGCCCCCAAAGAATCAACATCCCAATGAAGAAATGGGCACATAAATTAAATAGGGAATTCTCAAAGGAAAAGGTACAAATGGCCAGTAAATACATGAAGAAGTGTTCAACTTCCCTGGTTAAAGCAACACTTAGATTTCGTCTCACCCCAGTTAGAATGGCCATAATCAAGGGAATAACAACAAATGCTGAAGAGGATGTGACAAAATAAGAACCCATATACACTCTTGGTGGGAATGCAAATTAGTACAACCACTATGGAAAGCAGTATGGAGATTCTCAAAAAACTAGAGATAGAACTGCCATATGATCCAGTGATACCGCTCCTCCTCGCCATCTACCCAAAGGAACGTAAGACAGGATACAGTACAGACACCTGTACACTGATGTTCATCACAGCACTATTTACAATAGCCAAGTTTTGGAAACAACTCAGGTGCCCTGAAACTGATGAATGGATCAAGAAATTGTGGTATATATTCACAATGGAGTATTACTCAGCCACAAGGAATAATGACATGTGGTTTGAAGGTAAATGGATGCAATGGGAGGACATCATGCTAGGTGAAGTCAGCCAGGATCAGAAACACAAAAGCAGCATGTTTTCTCTCGTACATGGAAGATAGATCCAAAGATAAACATATACACAAAACCAAGCATGACCATATACAAACTCAGATGTAGAACATGTTTCTAACAGTGGAATTACTCTATGGGACTCAGGGAAACAGGGAAAGGAAAAGTGAATGATAAAGCATCAGTAATATTGCATAACATAAGATGTGAAGCTAGATGATACAAGGATGTGTATTAAAAGATGTTGAAAAATGGGGGGTGGGAGGTAAAGGGGTAAGGGAGAGTAATGGAAAGGGTTGAACAGACCAAAGTAAAGCACACCCACAGTGGACATACATTGAGACACCCCTTTTAGCATCAACTTAAATATTAATAGTGAAAACCATGACTGAAAAATAGGTGCAGTGTGCAGGGGTACTAGTGGGAGGAGGGAGGGTGAAGGAAGGAGATTAAGGTGACGATACATGGTAGATGGACTTAATATTCCTATATGAAACAGAACTAAGAAACCTCTGCAATTGCTTTAAGTGGGTGGGGAAGGAGTTGAGGAGGAGAGACGATGGGGGCAATGTAACTATGTACAATATAAGTCTAACCGGAATCATCACATATAATGAATTTATTCTAATAAAAATTTATTTAAAAGAAGAATAATGAAACCATGAAAACAATTAAGTGAAGTAGGGCACCCTGAAAAGGCTGCATAAGTGAAAGAGAAATCTTTGATCTTCTCTCAGCATGAGTTTTCTACTGCAGCATGCAGCATTTCTTCTGTGGGCTGAGTTCTGGTTCTCCTAAAATGCCCTGCAAATGGGTCCAACAAGTATGCATGCTTGCTGCTCATTCTGAAAACTGGACCTGAAAACCCTCCACTACCTGCCCCTCTGAAGTCCTCCTTGCCTTTCACTTCTGGGAAACAGCATTTCTCCAAACTGCAACCCAGTATTTTTCAGTATTAAAACTCCAGAGGACACTGTGATTCCCTTTGGGAGTCTGAGGACTCCTTCAGCTTCTATGGGTTTGCGCCCTGTGGCTCGGTGTCAACATGCCACGTTGAGCTTGCTTCTGATTCTGCCCACAACTTATTCTAATGGAGTTCCCTACCCATCTGGAACAGGGTGTCAAACATTGGCCTGAACTCTTGTGCAATTAAAAATAGTCTTGTTGTTAAAAACAACTGTGCAAAGCAAAGTGGATTTGGATCTGATCACATAAAACAATTTCAGGCAATAAACTAGTGTTGATTTGATTCATGGATTTGTCATTTCAAAGCATTTACCATTTTGAACAAAGACATTCCTTTACAAATGCATATGGCAAAAACTGTACCCAGTGAAACTTTTATCGTATTCATAAAATCTTTATGAGGAAAGTCTATAAGCATATAATATGTTAACTATCATATTTATAAGTTGACATATATCTCACCATACTAAAAGACCTTTAAGTAGAGGTCTCCCCAGCAGGAGTGAGTGTGGAGACAAGGCCTGCCCTTGTCACTTGAGGTGTACTAGTCAAGAAGAGCTACAAGTACTTGGCTCAGAAGACATTGTTCTCCCATGGTGTCAGAGGAAAAGAAGAACCAGTTATGGGTAGGCATTAGAGTCCCCATAATGATGGGGGAAACAAAAGCATACAGAGGGGTTGCCTTTTGATTACCTATTTTGAATTTCTCTTTAGTCTGACAACTAAAATTCCAGTCATGGGAATAGATTGACTCTTAGCTTCATTGCTTTCTCTAACACCTTTTCATTATTGTTGTAACAGTTGTGAATATAAACATAAATAAAACACCTTTGAAAAGGTGCCACTCTTGGAGAGCAAGCAAGAAGGATCAAATGTTCCCTTGCTTTCCCTCTTGAGAAAGCAATTGCCCTTGGCTACCCATCCTTTCCAGCCCAGCCAGTGCCTCTAGAACATTCAGCTCTGTGGTTCAATGATGTTGGAAAGTTGGTGGGCAGTATTGGGTGATATTGTCTGGCTATCCCTTGGGAAGTCATAGGCTAGTGCTGTTATGTCCGTATGTTTATTGTCAGCTACTGTGTGTTCAGCATTGTTCCTGACCCTCAGATCAGGGAGAAGTAACAGAGATGTCCCCTGCTATGTTAGATTTCTGACCCTAGTAGGAAGGGGAAGAGTGTGGACAAATGGTGACAATCTCTGGAAGGATGTTGTAACAACCAAACAAGAACAACTAATAGGAAAGTGCTGAAAACCGGTAGAGTTCTTTCATTGGGGCTTGGTCAGGTGTTGGAAGCAGCAGCAAGACTTTTGCTTGATGTAGGTGATAGAAAAGGAATGGGTTTGCAGAGTCATGCAAGGGAAAAAGTGCAGCGTTTTTGATCCATATGTACTGGCTACTTACCAGTCCATATCTATCGGTGATGCTTCTGCCTGGCTGTTTCATAGAGGATATGGAAGCTCTTTCATGAGGTTGATTTAGGTTGCTGGTTCCTTGAGATCAAGGACTGTTTTTCCTCATTACTCCCCCCAGTGATTTTTTTTATGTACGAAGTGCTTGTAACATTGCAAACTATTTTCAATATGTTTGCAGACCCAAGCAACCCTTTTCAGTGACAATTTCTGTCCCCTTTCACATAACCTTGAAATATTTTACCTGCATTTCTGTCTTCCTGCCCACTTTTAATTAGTGTAACTCTTTTCCTGCTCTCTGGCCTATGCTGCCCCCCTAAGGTGGGCAGGAGAGCAAGGTAGTAGGAGAAGTAGAAGGCTCCAAAAGCTGAACAGGAGAAGCCAGCCACAGAGTTGGTTGGATAGTTAGTAGAGATGGGCATAAAAATTAAAAACAGAACACTAAGCCCATGAGACACTATGGAAGGTTAAGTGATCCAAGTTATGGAGCATGGTGAAAGGAAAAATAAAAGAGAAAGAATTATCAAGAAGCTCAGAATGAGTCAAATTAAGTTCATGGACTGAACCCCACTGCAAAACTATTTCCTCGATGTTGAAATTTAGCACTGATAGCTGAAGCTGAAATAGATTTGTTATGTATCTTTTTCATGTTAAAGATGGCACCAAGCAATCAGTTTTTTCCTCCTTGGAATCCTAGGGTATGCAGTGTCTTCTAAATGTTAGAACAATGGATAGGATGGATGGATAGTGTTTGATTTTTTCCCTTTTGCTTTTCACTGCAGGAAATACCAGAAATAGCCCACCTCCCTATGGGTTTCGGCTCTCACAAGAAGAAATAAGGAGACAACGGCTTCATAGATTTGATGGACAGTGAGGTGGCACAGCATCTTCAGAAGATGTGGTCCAGTTATGTAATTATTGCCCATTCGCTTCATACTCCCTCAGCCCCTACTTAGTTTCAAACAAGAGTACACCATCATCCTCCCACATTGCTCATGCGTGCTATGGACCATCACCCTATGGCCCCTGGTGAGTCCAGGCTCACAGCCAGATTGACTTGTCTGGAAACAAGGCTTGTCAAAGGCAGCTCACAGCTTTCCAAGAGTGGCCTTGTTTTCTGTCCTAAATCAAAGGTCACATCCTCAATGCTGGGACCTGTTTCCACACTCCTTCCTTCCCTTGTTACTCAGTGGTGCCTCTGTCTTATTTTAATTTTGAAGACTTGAACTTCATCAAAAGGTTTTGTTTTCGCCAGTTGGGAAGATCATCTCTCATTCTTCCTGGATTGCTTGATGCTTGACTTGACAGAAGGCCCTGTCCCCTGGTCCTCCTGGCATATTGCCATGGTGACCACTGGGAAGAGGTTGTGTCTATCTTCTAGTCTCCTCACCCAGGCACCTCTGCTCCATAGGCCCCCAAGTCTGGATGGTGCTCAGAGTGTATTTGCTTTGTTCTTGTATTCTCGGCCTCATGTCCAACTGAAGAAATGTGAAAACTTCAGGTGGAGAAAACACCCATGCAGTCCATTAAATGTCAGGTGATGCCAGCAATATGGGTTCACAGCCATGCCTCTGGGGGCAATATGTGTATGTGGGAGACAGAACTTGTCTTTTAACTAATCAGAAAAGCAGCAGCAGGTGCCACATACAGGGCAGAGTGAAGGCATTCAGTGCATTGGTCACTAGAAATCCTTCTTTCTGGAAGTATTTATTTCCTCACAATTGGCCACTATACCAGTTGTTTGTCCTGGACAGGTGTCCAAAACATGTCCCAGGGCCCTGCAGTGTTCTAACACACAGATTGTCCGAGTCACTTAAGGCATTTCCTGGTGCTTGTTTCATGAGTAAAAGGACAAAGCCAAAATATCACTACTGTCTTATTGTCATAGAGCTCTTTCTTTTTAAAAAGAGTTAGAGGCAGAAAAAAAAAAGGATCCTATTTTTACTTATCTATCATTCATATCTAGTATTCTGACTATGAAAACTAGTCAGAAAAATAGATGCATCTTCTATATGCATAATGCAAAAGTCTAGAAAGAAATATTCCAAATGTTTACAGAGATTATCTTTGAGGGTGAACTACATGGGACTTTGCCTTTTCTTTTTCACAGTTTTATATTGCTGTTTTAAAAAATATCTGTATATATGCAGGCAGGAAATCTGATTCATATAGTAAATCAAGAAATTTAACAGTAAAATAGACTTAAAAATGAGTACTGTATGTCCATTGAGAAAATTCATGATATATAAACAGAACTATAAGTAAATACATAAACAATTTTAAAATCACCTATATTCCCACCACTTGGAGATACCCAGGATTAGCATTTTGAGGGAATTACCAACTTGATTTTTCTTGTATACATTTGACAATTTTGGTGCATACTGACTGTGCAGTTTTGTATGTAATTCCTATTCTTATCTAGGAGTAGTCTTGATACTTGCATTGAGATGAGCTAAGAAAATTACTGGAGTCTAGAATACTCTGACTGGCTACCTGGTGCAATGATTCCTTGGGTTCCTTAGATTAATTTATAATTGATGTCAAGTTACAACTAGTTGATAATATGAATTATACCTGTCAGTTTGGTAGCTTTTGACATATTTAAATATTCAAACCAAATCATTCTTGTCTCCCAACCTGTATAAACCTGATTTCTATTACCCCAGTTAGAAATAACCTCTTATATTCCATCTTTTGATAACACGTGGGAATTCTGCTATAACACTGATATTTTGCCCTTATTATTATCATCTGTGCATACTTCTACCACATCATACCTTCTACATGAGAGTGTAGTGTATGAATAACCCTGGAACAAGACCTATATATCTCATTTCTTCTCATTTCCCCATTCTCTATCCAAAGCTTGTGGTAGGAGCTCATTAAATGTTAGTTTCTCACCAAAGAATGTTTTTTTCAATTGTATTAAAAGTCCAATCACTTGTATGTGGAAGTATCTTATTATTTTTTATATATCTTGAGTCCAGTAGGACTTAAATAGGCTCTGTTTGACTTGTCAGATATGCAGACATTGGAATTAGATTTTGGGTGGTATAGCTGTAACATGCACACTTTATTTAAGGAATGGAACATAACCAAACATTTAGAGATGTGGGAGAGGTAATTTTAGTTATAAACATAAACCAATTAAACAATAAAAATGTTCTGTAAAATTATTAAAATTATTTTGTTCAGTTAATGGGCTTGTCTATAACTACTGTTTATTGTTTTCAAAGTCTCTTTTCTTTTTGCTTTTTTCTCTACAATAAGGATCCCCAAAGTTATGCCAACAAACTGGAATTGGGTTGAGACAAAAAGCAAAAACAAGTGCATTAACTAATTATTTCTAATAGGAAGCATTGAGAACTGATTTTTTAAATCCAGTTTCCTTATTTAATAGTAGTTTACTAATTGTCTGTTATATACCCAGTTCCTACAGTTTGGTATGGTCAGTTAACAGACATCTGAATTCAGTATCAGTTATTGGTTCTCAAGAGGAAGGAATAAAGTTGTTTTTTCTTAATGACTTTCAAGTATTGCCTGTGACTCCAAAGTTGTACCTAATGACGTTCAGACCCCCTCTACCTTTGTGAATGCCGCCGGTGAAGCATAAGCTAAGCAGCAGTTTTAGTAGCATTAGGCCAGCCTACATATTTGGCACATGGTCTGCTGCATAAGGAGCAGTAAAAGGAATGAGAGAGATGACCTCCCCACAGATGACCGTAAGATGGGGCCTTGTTCCCAGTCTTGGTTTCTCTTGAGAGAGTCAGTATTCAATAAAGAAATATATTCAGTTAGTCATATACAAATCTATCATTTCTTCCTTTTCTTTCCCTTGGATCCTGTCTCTCATTCCCTAGCATTTCATTATAAAATTATAGACTCTCAATATAGAACCCTGAAGTCTCTAAATTCATTGCTTTTGCTCAATACTTAAAATACCTCTTCACTCAGTTCTATTTAGCATTGCCAGGTTAGGTTTTCAAAACCCATTTTAGCAATGCCACTCATCCCCTCAAAGACCTTTTATTATCTATTTGTTGCCAAAGGATAAAACTCAGAGCCATTATTCTCAACAGTGAGGCTCCCACCAGCCTTTGGATCCTCACCCCATTTATGCAAAACAGAACCTGTATACTCCTGATCCTTGGGCCTTTTCCGTGCTGTGCTCATACATTTCCTCTCTTAGCCTGCATCCTTCTGCATCCTGTTTATCCTACCCCCTGACTGAGGTCTTTCCCAGGCACCACGGCTTGCCCCACCAGACCTAATGCTGTTGATGTGTCACATCTACTCCTCACACTACTTGGAGTGTCTGGTCCTGGAGCAATGAGAGAATATGTTCCGCCTTCAGCAATACTTTGTCTGAAATGTTGGGACCAATAAATACTTGAGGGCTGAAACAGAGAGCTCATTTATACTGTCACCATGGCACAAAAAATGCTTCTTAAATTTCAGTGTGCCTAAGTACACCATTTACATTACACCATTTACTGTGTGTATTACAAAGCAAACTTACTACCCATTTAAAAATGTTTATTTTTCCAAACAGATAAAAATAATTACTGGTTGAGAATTTCACGTTTAGCTGATAAAATTATAAAACTAGGTATATAATCGCTGAACATAGAAGCTACCCCTTAGAAATGATGTGTTAACAGGAAGTGTGTTCTGTGTGGATATATCATTGAGGGATATCCTAGGTCTGTCTCTCTTTCTCTCTCTCTCTCCTCCTTCTGCTTTCTGGCTGCTGTGATCTGAGCAGCCTCTACCACATGCTCCCACCACAATGATATTCTGCTTCACTTCGGGCCCAAAGCAATGAATTTGGTCAACCTTAGACTAAAACCTCTGAAACCAAGAGCCAAAATAAATATTTATTCCTTTTAAATTGTTTCTATCATGTATTTGTCACAGTGATGAAAAGCTAACACCCAGGGGCTATAAGTTACAATATTTTACATTTTATATATCTGCAATTGACTTTCATGTCTATAACCCTCCAAATAACCCTATGGAATACATGGTCTCATTCTTGCTCAGTTAATGAGGTAACTGCTGCCCAGAGGGTCATCATACTGCTCAGGTAATGCAACCATGGTTGATATAGCCCTTCTGTCCCTGGTCCTGGTTTTATTTCTCTTCTGCACCTTGACTGTGTGCAGAACTGTGCTTTCAGAGCCTCAGAATCCCATCCTTGCCAGCAAGGATGGCTTCCCTTATGCAACTCATATTTCTACCATGTAACATTCCTTATTTTTCCCAAGCCAGCTCCAAGGGTGGGCCACATTACAAGGTAGGTAAAGAAATGTAAACCCACTTTGGCTTGAAAGAAAATAAGTTCACCAAATAAAACACAGTTGTTTGGGGAAGTAGTCACAGAATTTTATATATAATGGAATCATAATTATAAGTAGTAATACAGGAAAGATTTAAGTATCAATAGCAAAAAAGTCATCTTGCAAAAATTACATATTCAAAATCTAACTTTACAACCATAGGTTAGAGAAAAGGATGCAATTTATTGGACACATTTCACATTTTTCCCATGAATCATTAAATATTTAAACACCATAAAATTCAAGCATTTCCCATGGTATGGCAAGCCAGCCTTGGTAGCTTAAGATGCCTTTATGCAGAGTTTCTGGCAGATAATAACAGTGACAATTGCAGAGTGCTGATTTTTAATGTCAACTGTTTGTTCCCTACAGAACTTACTGATAATGTCCCTGCAGGAAATTGTGATATTTTTTGTGGTACAGTAACTTTGAGAATTGAAATAAAATAGCATTCCCAAAGACATTAAGAATTGGCCAGGTATAAATAATTCCAATCAATAATTTATAAGCCCTGTGAGAATCATAATTCTACTGTGTAAAAACATCCAAAGAGATATTTTTATTTCACTTATAAAATAGTTTAAGTAGAAGATGTGACCATAATCAATGCATGATGACTGCTGTGTGCTAGACAGATAATCTAACCTTAATTTTCAACATGAGTAGGTGTTATGTCCCATTTTATAAATGAGGGAAATGAGGTTGAAGGAGTGATAGAACTCACCCAGAGTAACACAGCTGGAAAGAAGCAGAGATGGATTCAAATCTGGGTTCAACCAACTCCAAAGTCCTCATGCTTCCACTATTGTTGCAGTCACACCAGGTAAAAGTACAATTATCAAATTATTCCAGCTAGCCAATAGAAGCACAAATCTAATATAATTTCCTGAAACAGACAGGAATAGTCTTCTCTCGCTCTCTCTCCATATATACATATAATGGTCTGCTTGATAATCTGTATGAAACTCAAAATAAAATCTTTGATAAAATCCAATTCTCATAAACCATTCCACTGACTTTTTCTAAGTGCCAGTAACACATATACAAATTTTTAGAGGCAGTTTTGTATAGGAAGCTCTTAAACATGAGAGAATGCAGGTTACAGCATGAATCATCATGTCACATTTCAGTGAAGTGTCTTCGCTCAGCCAAATCTCATCATTTCTGAAAATTCAGTTTATAAAATAGTAAAAATCTATTTTGGAGTGGGGAATTGATTGTTAAAGCTTATCAAAAGTGTCATAGCAGATTGTGGGCACACAGATACATTGAACATTATGATATTTTGAACTAAGACATGGTTTATACTTATTACCAGCTTACCAATGAGGACTTTATATACAGAACTGGACATCTAGTGCCCAATAAGGCAGATGTAATTGTCCTTGAATAAGAGAATTAAGTGTTGATGTGTGCAGCTCTGTGCTAGCATTGGGCATACAGAGACAAGTACAACTTGGTCCCTGCCCCCCATGGGGCTTAGATGTTAGCCAGAGGATGGAGGAAGTAGGCTGAGACACTAGAAAAGTAATGGGGGACTGAGAGGTGACAGCAGAAGGGAGTCTAGGTCTCCCTAGGGGAATTCACAACTCAATGCTAATCAACCTGGGGTCTGCCAAGTCAAAGGACATAGGGGAGGAGTCAGAGGCACAGAGGTACTGTAAATGTTGGCAGAACTGCATGCAGTTCTTAGTGACAAGACATCCTCCCAGACATAAGCCATGAACAGTTCACACTGGACTTCTCACCCTGGTGAAGCCATTTGGGCTTCATGGGCAGAACTGTCAGTGAAGGATCTTAAGCCAAAAAAAAAACAGAATCAAGTTTGGATGGACTTTCAAGCTGGAACTTGAAAGTAGAGAAACCAGTCAGGAGATGCCTCCTGCAGGAGGGTAGGTAGAAAGGTGTGGGAGATGCAAGGAGTCCAGAAAGGAGGTAGCAATTCATAGGAAGTGGGGTCTTGAGTTTCAGTCTGGTGAGAGGGCCACGTGTAGTATGGACCCCTCCCTGGATGGTTGGGCTCTACTCAATGAGAGTGAGAATCCAGAAGGAACAGTCTCCATCCTCCAGGACAAGCCTCAGAACAATTCCCATCAGGTGGTGTAGGCATGTTCCAACCAGTCAAGGGGAGAGGACTGATGGAGGTGGTGTTGGTAAGATGGTCACAGTAAATGAGCCAGGAGAACAACCACAAAGCTTTGTCATGACCACCCCAGAGCCAGGGTACATCAAGGTACATTGCTGTATAACCAGATGAAGAAAATAATGGCTTAAAATAACATGGTCTTCTATTTCAAGAATTAATTTTTCCTATCATTTTGCCATTTTGACCATTTAAAACACGTTTTCAAAGTCAGAAGGAAGCACTTGTGCTGTATTCACAGAGGCCTCCTGTGGTAGCAATATTTGAACTGTCTCATATCCCAGACTCATGGTGCAATAAATTGAACATTTAATTTAGCCTGTTCTTCTTTAACTTACTTATAAAGCATGTAAAGATAATATTTTAATACCAAAGCTAAAGTGTCAAAATAATAATTTAGCAAGAAAGATACGTTTCTAATGTTCCATTTATCGCCCCACCTCTTCCCAGAAAATGTTCTCAGACTAAGTTATGATTAACTTATAGGAGGCTTGGCTTTTGGTGGAATCAGAAGAGTAATAATTATAAATAAGGTAGAAACTGGCTTGAATGTCAGATACCAAAAATATCTAGCATGCATAACATGGTCTTAAATCATGTAGGTCAAATGAACAAGGAAATATTCTGCTATACCAAGGAAGTATTTTATGTTAAAATAGGCATGCTTTTTTTTTTTTCCACCAGAAAGTAGCCTTAAAATAAATTGCCATCCATGGGTAGCCCATAGCAAAACTCATTAGAAATGTACTCTGCATAGAAAAGCTCATTACTAATCAAAGTTTGGCAAGGAAAACATTTCTTATAAACTCAATTTTAATTGAGCTTTTCTTGTCTCAATTATTTTTAAGTACACCGAAACTAAGCACTAAAACGAGTGTCACTCTCACAAGAAATGTCTTTAATTTTCTGTAAACTGACATTTTGTTTAAATGAGGAAGGTGAGTTTCCCAAAAATCTATTCTAGCAAACCTTTTGATTTGTAAGATTAGATCACTGGATTCCTGGCAAAAGAGAAAACAGATCTTTTACTATTCAGGAAACTTAGTCATTATAAATTGGCATGGCTTCTAAACTTGTATAGAAACTGCTAATGCCAAATGTCAAACCACTGCCTTGGTAGAATACTAACACGAAGTCTAAGAATGTTTTTTAAATTGGCAAAATGGGATGGTCCTCTAAAAACTAATCACAGAAACATAAAAGTCAAACTGTACATTGCTTTTATTTCTTTTAAAAATAGTCCCATGCCTTCCTGGTGGGGTCTCCCTGTCTTCAATGAATCTTCTTACCTAAGTTTAATTAAGACAGCCCTTATTTTCTCCCAAGTGCATAATGATAGCCCTGTCACTTCACCATACGAACTGCATTATGCATGTGGAAGAAGAGTGCCCATTGTGAGCTGCAAGGAAGCTCTGTGGGTTCTCCTGGGGAGGCAAGTGAGATGCTTTGTGCAAACCATGTGCCTGCCTGAGTAAGCCCCATGTAGCTCCGGTCCCATTAGCACTGAGGACACGCCGGACCCCAGCTGGGGAAGAGCGGTCTGTTTGGAAGTTCTCTGCAATCGGGAGTCAATTTTTGTGAATCACTGCCTTAATATTCATTAATAGCTTTAGACTCCTAATCCCTTTTGAATATATTTTTCCATAATTGCTACTTCTCAAAAGGGTTGCCAAAGTAGGCATTTCTATTCTCTGAAAAATGCAGAAGAGAGCATAATGTTTTATATTCATCTGTGGAGTGTTTATGCTAATGTCCCAGCTCTCGAATACAGCGACTGTGGACCTTCCTGGCATAATGACTCGTTCTGCTTTGAAATGAACTGGTAACACTGGCAGTGTGGATTTTCTTCTTCTTCTTTTTTTTTTTTTTTTTTTTTATCTCTTTGGGTCATGGTTTTACAATTATTTAAAGTGCATGGGAAAAATAGATTACAGAGGAAATCATTTTGAAAGTTGAAAATCTCTTACTTTCTAGTTTCACTTGTTGGCCTATTTATTTTTTTCCTGTAAAATCTATCCAGAAGCCCGCTGTGTTGTAGAGTAATTGAATTCAACTGTTTGAGATGGTATTAACCAGTGGATGACGTTTTTAGTCATGCATCGCCTAGCCTTCTTCATCTCCTTGCCTTCCTGAGAGTGAGCATACTTTCAAATAAAGCCTATTCTTCCATCATCCTCCATAAAATAAGATGTGTTGGTTTCATCTAGGTTGGTGGGTCCAAACAGATCCACACATGTAGTATTTGCTTAATCTACAGAGAACAGAGGTTTAGGAGCTGGCGGGCTGTGAGAATAACCACACTGAGACAAGGAACAGCTGAACATGGGGTTTGGAACAAGCACCATGGAGTCTCTTAGCACAGCTTAGGAAGTGTTAGCTCCCCAGGAAGTTCCTCTTGGCACATGTGGCAAATTTTGCATTTTCTAGGTATACTTCATGCAGACCTGGCACCTGCTGATTTTCTGGCGCTGGGCCTGGCCTTCTTTTAAGGTGTCTGATAATGGGTCAGAGGAAAACTGCAAATCTGGGTTCACCGTTGTCAGCCAAAAGCTATACTCATTTGCAAAAAAGTGGCAAGTTCCCTGCCGGCCTTGGCATTCAAGGAATGGTGCCGCTCTGAAATCCTCCAGGCAGCTGCCAGGTGACATGAGGGCCTGCCCTCCTCCTTGGTCCCCAGCTCCTGTGTGCTACCAGATAAAAGAGAGAATTAGGGCTCAGACACATGCAGACAACCCAGGCTCAATCAGGGACACACCCTGATCTAGGCTTGCTATTAACATTCTTCTTTAAATGATTCCATAAAGAACAAAATATAGTCTGCTGAAGAGCAGTAGGAAGAATGTTGGATGTGCACCCAAGGTGGAGCCAATTTCACCAATGGCTGAAGCAAATCCATTTTCTAAATTCTACCAAAGTGACCAAAAGAGTAATTGGCAGTAAAAAACAAGAAGAGCCCTGCATCTCAGCAGGCTATGGTTTGTGGTAGCCTTTATTACTATCTTCCTGTTGTCTGCACAGGATGTATACAATTATTGTCCAATCCAGACAGGGAAGGAGATTCTAGAAAACACAGGTGTAACAGGATTCAAGGGGCAGGGGACTCACCATCAGGAATGAGTACCCAATCCAGAGGCTCCTCCAGGCTTGTGGACATGGGGGGATGGACTGGTCCTGGCTGTGCACTGCCACTGCCTGTGCTGGAGCCTCACACACAGCACAGCGGCTGATGTAGGGGCGGATCTCTTCCTCTGACAGTGGCATCATGGGGAGGGGTGCAGCACTGGCCAGCCAGTAGGACCTGTCATTTCTCTGGGCATAGTGGCACACTTGGTGGATGTTGCAATAGGCAAAGGGCAGTGTGCTAAACATAGGAAGGCAAGAACCAGCCAGACCTTGGAGGGAAGAAAAGACATGATGTTTGAGCAGCCCGTGCTTTGTGCTCAATGACCTATCCCACACGTACTAACAAACACCTGCTCTGGCCTATGGTGGCTGTGCAGAGGCCTACTTCTGTGTTAGTGAAACCATTTCAGCCATCTCCCTGGCCCTATGGTCCAGCCCTCATCCACTCACTCCTCCCTCATGAGCCCAGCTATAGGCCAGAGGCTGGAGGTGAGCAGATTGCCCAGCAAGGACACAGATCTGCAAACACATGACCAAAGTCCAGCCTTTGAATGAGAAGCATGGGATGCCTGGACCTCTGGGAAGAGTTATCTTAAGCTGAGAGTTGAAATATGAAAAGGATTGAGCCAGGCTGAAGATGGAGGTGACTATTCAAAGAAGAGCAGCAGTGAAGAGAGCCAAGGCACAGAGCATGGGGCTCAGGGAAATCAGAGCTCACTGAGGGGACTGAGGGGTGTAGGGAGTGTGTGCATCTCCTCTCAGGGGTGTCCAGAGAGAAATCAGACCACAGAATGTAGATTTTTGTCAATCTTATTAAGGGACTTGGATTTCATCTCAAGAGTTTTTCATAGCTTTAAGATGCTCTGACTAGCCCAAGGTAGGGGAAGCAAGACTGATGGTATAGAGGCGAGACAGGAGAGAGAACAGTGGCATAATCCAAGATATTAAACATGTCTTCTTCCTTTCCCCTGTGCTCAAAGATCTAGGTCCCTGTGATGGGAAAAGACAATAGCTATAGCCAATAATGAAGATGAATATGGAAGCAGCTGCATAGGTCTGTACTCTGTGACCCCCTTATAGCTCTGGGGATATTGACCAGTAAAGGCAGTGACAAGACTCACCTTGCCATCGCTGACTCTGTCAGTACATCCTTCCCATACCCACCACCCTGGTCACTGTTTTCTTAAAAAGACAGTATTTGCCATTGCTCAGGTACTTAGACCCTTTCCTTGAAATGGTCTTTGCAGGCTTACAAATCAACTTTTGATAATTGTCAAGGAGCACCAAGGGATAGCCCTCAATGTAAAGTCCTGCAGTTGGAGTAGGGCAGGGAGTTGATGGTAGCAAGTGCCATTACACACACCCATTGGTATGTGCTACACCACTGTACATATGAACATAGGAGCTCACCATGTCCCAACTAAAAAACTTACATTTGGGAGTAAAAACTGTATTTCATAATAGAGTTCCATTTAACCTACTGCTGAAGAATCATTTTTAAAAATGAGCAATACATAGCCAGGTAATAACTCTAGCCAGAAAGAGCTTCTGTGCTACATAGGAAGAATCACTTGGAAATTTTAATGGCAATTTTTTAAAGTAATAATCCCATGGCAGATTTGTAATTGTTTACGATGTTAATGAAGCTGTAAAATTAACCCCAAGATTTTATTCTCCAAGCAATGCGGCATAGGTGGTCATGTGGAATATACATACCAAGGTCTTGATTGTGTGCTTTCTCCTGTCCTTCCATGTATAATAGACTGTACCCAGTCCAGAGATGGGGCATGCCCACAGGGCAGACAGGTTCTTGATCTGTTTGACTATGGAGAACCAGGAGGAAGCCACTGAAGTATCCAGGGCCAATCCCTTTGGGTCCAGGATCACCAGTGGGACCAGGAGGGCCTGGAGGAATAAAGAAATGAAACAGTTCAAGAAGTTCTATTTAACAAGTACCTCTATCCCAGAACTGTGCAAAGCACCCAGAGAACAGAGGGGCAGGACACAGCCCTTCCCCGGGAATGCCCCCCCACACAACTACAGTAGACATAAACACAACTCATCCACAAGTACAAGGGGGCATCTACACACCCAGGTTCCAAATCTGTAAATTCAATCATTCTCCAATTGAAAAACCAAGAAAAAGCAAAAAGAAAACCAAACAGTGCCTCTATACTGAGCATGTACAAAATTTTTTCCTAAATAATACAATATTCTACTTAAATAACATTTGCAGTATAATAGGTATTATACTTTAACAATAAAGTATACAGGAAGGTGTATGTATATGATATGCAAATACTACACCATTTTATGTAAGGGACTTGGTGACCCTTGATTTTGGTATTCGTTGGCATCTTGGAACCAGCCACCCCAAGGATACTGATGGAGGACTGTATTGTTCCAAGCAATTTCTGAGTGGCTGAACTATATCAGCATGAAAACAAAACAGAAAGAAATTCTTTCCCTCCTAAGGGTTACATTCCACTTGAGGACAAGAAAGGACAATAAGCATAACAAAATTCTAAATTAGAAAACAATTTTGGGGCATGGTCAGTGCTCACAAGAAAATAACTGGAAGGGAGCAGTGATATTCATGACAGCAAGCAAGGGAACCCAAAAAACCAGAGGCCAAGTGATTCAGCCAGCTGCAAAGAGGGAGAACATGCTACCATCCTCAAGATCCTCTAGAGGGTGATCACATAGCAAGCCAGGCTAACCAACCCTTGCAGACCTTGGAAAGGAACAGCTGCAATGGGCACCATTTCCTGATGATGTGGAGCTGCTTTGGAAAATAAAATACTGAGCAAGATACAGCACCTAGACTAACTTTTACAATGGTTTAACATCCATTAGAACATGGGAGATGTACCCCACTCTCTTCTTGTTGCTTTTGTCTCCCTAACACCTGCTGGACTGGTATCTAAAGTTTTTTTTTTTTTATAGCATCCTGTTTGGAAACTGCTGGAAGGCAGACTTGTTATGCAGCTCTTAGATCTGCAGCATCAGAAAAAGAAGGAGAAAAATAAATGCTTTACCTGGTGCTCCAGGATAGCCAGCCTCTCCAGTATCACCTTCACATCCAGGAGGTCCAGGAGACCCAGGGACACCATCCTCACCCCTCCTGCCATCCAGCCCAGGCTTCCCTTTGCACCCTGCAGGAAAGTGCATTATGGTAGGGATGAAAACAACATGATCCCTGCCAGCAGGTTCCACCCATGTGTGCCATATGCCAGCCCAGGCTTCCTTCATTCTTGACTACATTGCACCAGCACATTTAGTCTTCCCGATTGCATGAAGTTGGGGTTAACCATCTCCATTTTGTAACTGGGCTCACTGAGGCTCTGAGAGGTCAGGCATTTTGACTTTAATTAAGTAATGGGCTGGCTGGGCCAGTTTAAAGTGGTACCCAGGGAGATGTTGAGAAAGGTTTTCCTATTTCTTTTATATTATTGTATTTTTGCCTTTAGAAGAAAAACATTAAACATATATTGTTTTTATAATTACATATTAGTCTTCAAAATGGATTTTTTAAGCCTGGATGGTGGAATGAGTAAAATTTAATAGAATTCAGTTGGGGTCAAGTTAAATTTGAATCCAGATAAGAATCGATTCTACCATTAAGCATGCCCTCCGCCTTTTGTTTTTGAAATAGGGTCTCAATAACTTTGCTTGGGATGGCCTCGAACACAAGATCCCCTGCCTCTGCCTCCTGAGTAGCTAGAATTATGGGTGCGCTTCACAATGCCCAGCTAGCAACTTTTCATAATAGCTTTTCATTGAGTGTGTGTAATGTTCTAGGCTCCACACAACCCCTTAGATTATCCAACTCAGTCCTTGAAGCAGCCATATGAGTAGGTCTGCTCCCATGCCAGTAGGGAGACAGGCTCAAAAAGGTCACAGAGCCAGCAGGTGTGGAGAACATACACGATGAGTGCCAAGGTTGCACCAAAAGCCCCACCACCTGACAAGCTGCAGAACTTGATAAATCCTTACAGGACATAGCTGGGGAACTTGTCAGCAGGCACAATAATCCTGGAGGGGTTCTTTAAAGTGCTTGGTTACTCTTTTGTCAAGACAGCAAAATTCATTATCTACAATCTGCATTTGGTCAAGGTGGCAGACATGGTTATTGTCTTTGGGGGAGTTTATTGCCATTAGCCCTGGTTAACTGAATTACCAGCCTTCTCCAGGTTTCCAATCTCTACTTCTTTCTCTTTCTCTTTCTCTCTCTCCTCCCACTCTGTCCTTCTCCCTCCCTTTCCCCACCCACCTCATGAATTAGCTTGCTACAGCTGGACTGATTTGTGTCTTTGTGCCATCCTCCTCCCAAATTCACATATTGCCATCCTACTTCCCACAGTCTTAGAATGACTATACTTGGGAAGAGAGCCCCTTAAAGATAGGACTAAGGCAAAATGAGGCCCATAGGTGGAGAGAACTCCAATCTCACTGGTGTCTTTATAAGAAGAGAAAATTGGGACATACAAAGGGACACCAAGGTCATGTGTGTCTAGGATGTTACAGGGAGAAGGCTGACATCTGCAAGCCAAAGAGAGAGCCTCAGGAGAAACTAAACCTACTGCCACTTTGATCTTGGACTTCTACTTCCAGAACTGTGGGGGATAAACTTTCTGTTGTGTTAGCCACCCAGTCTGTATGACAGCCTGAGCAAACTAATATATAGCCTAAAATCAGCCATTAAGTCAAAGGTGTACTCACTTCAGTGGCCTTTCTTCTCCCCTCCTAATGGTGTGAAGATGATGAAGCTACACATGCCAATCGCCCCCTGGAGTCCACTGAGACACCCTGTCCTATTGGACAGAGCAGCTTTGCCTGCTCTCAAGGGTCCCAGCCCAGCCATTAAGGTGACCAAGGACACTGACCTAGGCCTTAAAACAGCCCCCAGGCCATGAAAAGGTTTAAGCAGGCTTGATCTGGGCTTGGCAGGCTGGCAGAAATTCCTTGCAGCTTCCTTTTCTCTGTTTTACTCTGAGAGGCCCCTCCCTGCGCCCTGCTGTCCAGGCCAGGCCCTGGCTAGGCTTTCATGCTCAGTCTGGTAGCTGACTAGCCTAGAACACCCTGGGCTCACATCTGCCCACTCCAGCCCACCTAAGACACATCACTGATGAAAGAAACCCAAGGAAGCTGTGGACATGGGCCCTCCAACTTTTCAATAAATCAGCATGTGCCTCAGTAGGTCTGGGCCAGGAGCAAAAGAGCCCACATTTATGATATGTTCCCGAGTGACTCTGCTGTTGCTGGACCAGACTGAGAACCACTGTTCTAGAGTGTAAGTTAAATTTTTATAAATAAAGGTCCATCTTGTCTATTTTGAAAATACTCTATTTCTGCCTAATATTTTTCTCTTTTAAAATATTTTCTTTCTTTTCTTACTTCTGCCTATTCTTTAAACCAGAAAAATTATGTAAGGAATTCATTTGAAGGAAACAATGCTACCAAAAATAATAGCAAAGAGATCTACTGTTTATTCTGTCAGATAGGTCCTAAAAGCTTTTTGTGACAGAAAACTCATGTAATTCTCACAACCATCCTGTTTTAAAGATGAGGGAACTGAGTCACTGAGAAGTTATGTGGTAGAGTTTCTACAGTCTACTTCCAGAGTCTCCTCTTCTAGCCATTGTACTTCCTCATTATAATCAGGGATGCTTGCATGTAAGACATTCATTACCCAAAATGATATTCATTACCAGTTGCTTATCATAGTGGAAAAATGGAAATACCTTACTTAAGTCAGAGCAGTTCCAGACCTAAATCAGCAACACCACCTGGGAACTTATACAGAGGAATATCAGAGCTCACTCCACACCTGACAAGCCAGAAAGTCTGCAGTGGGTCCAGGAACCAGGGTTTTCACAAGCTCTCCAAGGGATTCCAACATGTAGAAAGCTTGAGGACCTAGACTTTATGTGTCCCCCATGACTCTCTTCTACCTTAAGGTTAAGTTCCACTGTTAGAGATTTCTACGTTACCTTTTGTTAGCACTCAGCATGTTGGTGCCAACTAGTCAACCCCTTCCCTTCCAGCTAGCCTGTTGCTCCGAGGGCAGGGCCTTGTTGGATTAATTTATTTCTTACAAAGCTCTGGCACCAAAGCAATCAATAAATAATTTATGTAAATAAATCATGGCACAATCAAATACTGCAATACTGTACAGCCACTACAGACAATTTTGTAGGAAAATGCATAATGACAGACAGGTAATAGCATGTTCAAAAGAGCAGTTTGCAAAAGAGTGTGTGTGGGTGATCTCGTTTTAAAAACATGCAGAAATAAGAATGGACAGATACACTGCCAACGGTACCTTTTTAAAAATGTGTTTAAGATAGACTAATAGAGGAGGTAAATTTGATCACAGTATATTATATGCACGTATGAAACCCTTTGTACATGCATGTATGAAACCCTTTGTACAATTAATATATGCTAATAAAAGAGGGAACATAATGTATAGTTTCTTTTGCTTTACATTTTTTTAAAAATTTGTGTAATAAGGATTTTTTTTCCTCTTAATCATATAACTGTCCTAGGCCAATGCTTCCATCTTCCTCTCTGTACACAAACGGTTATCAATACCAGGTACTTCTGCCCATGCAGGTACATTGTCAACATCTGGTTGTCATACGGGAGAAGGGTCTGAAATTGGCATCTAGTGGATAGAGGCCAGGTATGCTCCTCAACACCCTACATAATGCACATGACAGCCCTCCTGATAACAGCTTACCTGGCCCCAAATGTCAACAGTATCAGGTTGAGAAAGCCTCCCTACATTGTAAGTTACACTAGGAGTCATGACACCTAGCTGTCCTCAAGCTGCTATGGTGTGTAGAGTGGTGGTTGGCAAATCACAGTCTGGGAGTCCCACAGCCAGGTCTATGGCCACACTGATGCTGGACACACTGGTTAACTGCATATCATCTATGATGCTTTGGGCTGCAACAGCAGAGCTAGCAGTCACAAGAGAGACCTTCTGCCTCTAATGCCTACTACCATAATCTACCATCTGGATCTTTACAGAAAATGTTTTTGGGGCCTTAGTCTAGGAGGATGTAAAAATCAAGCAGGCAAATGCATATATCTCTGGTGACATAAATGTGACACTAAAGAGTAAAGTAGAAGAGAGCAGGAGCAGAGAGAAAGTCACTAACCTTGGGTCTTAGATTCTAATGAGAAAAGGCTCCTAGAGAGGGTGACCTTGAGGTCAGAACATTAATGGCATAATCCAGGTGAAGGGCGCTTGGGCAGAGGAAACAGTACCTGTGAAGGCCTAGAGGAGGGAGGGGTGTGTGGTGCCTTCAGGGCCTCACAGTGGAGGGAGGCTGAAGGGAATGATACAGTTTGAGTCACAAGGGTTTGGCCTGGAGAGAAGAAAGGACAACATTTTGGAAGTTTGGGTTCGTTCCTGAAGGTAGCCCTAGGATATTCACAACAGGGTTCTGAGGTGTTAAGTTATGAGGTGTCTCCCTTCCCGTCTCTCTCCCTCACAAGAGCCACACATCCTATAACCAACTGCAATGTGTGCCCCTCACTGCTTGAAAGATTTGTTCTAATGTTGGCTGTCCTTCTGTCCCCAGGACCAGCTAGTCTCTCCCCGCTTGGCTTGAAATGCCATTAAAAGATGAAATACAATTGACCATTAAAGTACTTATGTTCTGTTGGCTATGAGATTGTGAGACCCTGGTTGGAGAAACACATCTTATTCATCTTTAAACTGCCCACAATAGTACTGTACAGAATAGAAGGAATCTGGAGATATTTACTGAATTGAATTTGTGGAACCCCACCATAGGTCACATCTTCTACTTGAGAGTTATTTATTTAAAAGTTGGAGGCAGCCCTTGATATAGCAAATATATGCATAAAATGCCATATATTTAAAATGAGGTTGAGTGGTCACTCCTACTGACCGTTGGAGAATTTTGCCCAGGCAATGGTTGCCAAAGGAAGAGAAGATGAATTCTTACTGACCCAATTCCCAACACCCACAGGCTGCTAAGAGAAGTCACTACACTCCAATTAACTCTGTGCACAAACACAGATGCATGCAGCTTACACCACCAACAAAAACACATATTAATTTGAGGAAAGTTCCAGAGTTGCTTTGGTCTCTCCCCTAGAACTATTCAGGATCCAGCTAGAGAGACATCTCTTGAGTGCTCGGCTTCTTGGGCCTGGGAAACTACTAGAAAAACAGGTGATACAAAATTCAGTTCTACTTCCAATTCCTTAGCCCTAAACCAAAAACAATCCATATCACAGCGAGGCAGCAGAGGAAACAGAAGAGGGGCTGGCCTTGGGTCTCCTCTTCTCATAATTTACATACAGGTTTTCAGGACGCATAGGCACTACCAACAAGGGACCGATACCTTCTAGATGCCCAGCCCCGGGCCTCCCTGATCTTTTTGTAAATTAGCCAATGTGGTAGGGATACCTGAAAAGAAAATAAGCTACTTGGAGAATACTTTTTAACAGAACAGTTAAAAAGTGATTAGGATCCTGCCACCTTGACAATAACTGAGCAATGCACAGATCAATTAAATGAACTGTGCAGTCACTGCCAATATTTAGAGTAACCCTTCTTCTCCCTTCCCCCTTCTAGGTGGTTTGTCTCCTCCCTCTCAGAGGCTCTGTTTCTGCTTCACTGAGTCTCAATTCATTTTTTTTTTCATTCAAAACCAAGTCAACAAGCTATTAGAGATTAACAGGGCATCTACTCTGTTGCCAGAAGTTGGCCAAATCAAAAAGATTTAAGTGAGATTTCAACACAAAAATAGAAGGGATGCATGGGTCTAGTTAGTTCTTGACTAAATCTTTGGATCTATATAGAAAAATAAGGAAAAGAGAAAGGACATTTTCATTGCTACATTATCACTAGTTATTTAGGCTCCATACAGAAAGCAACATAATAAAACATCTAGATTTTCATTTCAGCAGTGTCTGATGCAAATAACAAACAGAGTAAGACTCATACCTGGTCCTGGGGGGCCTCTCTGTCCAGGGAGCCCCATGGGTCCTTCTGGTCCTCTTGAGCCTGGTACCCCAGGAAGCCCTGGGATTCGGGGACAGCCATCCACATCTGCAGGTGGCCCAGGATGACCTGAAATTAGAATCCCCACTATGTGATAGGTTCAAATGCTTCTGAGTAAGCTCCTTCTGTACTTCCCAATTAAAGATGGACTTCTAACACTATTCTGAAATGTTAACAAGAATGCTCAACAATCCACTGTACGTTCCATGAAGGCAGGAACTTGTCTTGCTTACTGCAAGGACACAGGAAAATCTTCCAGAAAGCATTTGCTGAATAAATGAATGATAGACTGCTGGGATAAATGAAGGAAATTATCAGACAAAGCAGAAATAGTGGCAAGTTGGCAAAGATAACAATAATTTGATGGTCTTCATAGGATTTCCAATCTTTGGGTCATTTTTTACCAGGGTGCCCACATTTCAAGAGAGACTGGGGGGGCCCTAAACTCAGCTTTACCATGTCCCTAATTCATTACACTGCAATCCCCTGGCTTTCCCTAGACAGTTACTTAAATAGAATTTCAGGATAGCTAGAGGCTCTAACACACTGACTTTCAACCTTGCTTGAATGTTGAAATGATCTGGGGGAGTTATAAAAATAGTCTGATCCTGGGCCCCACCCCTGGGAATACTGGTATACATGGCAACAGGATGTGGCCTGGGCAATGGCTTCAGCATTGGTTCCATGATAAACTCAGCCGGGCAAAAGCACTGCTCCTGGGACCCCATCCAGACTTACTGCAAGGAACTCCTGAGGTGGGATTCTTGAATTAGCATGCCTATAAATTCCCCAGGTGATTCCAATGACTGCTAGAGCTGACAGGCAGTGCCATGAAGTTTTGTTCTGACTATAGCACATCACAATCATCTGGCTGATTTGTTAGGAACCAGCTGAGTCAGGAGATCTGAGGTGGGAGCTGACATAACCATTTCTAACATGTTCCCAGATAAGGTAGATGGCACTGACCTGGAAATCTTTATGTTGAGAAATATAGTGCTAAGTAAGATTCTGATAGTTCTAAGTTCTTGATTATAGTCACATCTTCAAGAAATTTTTGTCTTTCTTTCCTTTTTGGGGGGTGGTGAGGGCTATCTCACTATATAGTTCAGACTGACTTTGAACTCAGCCTCCTAAGGGCTGGAATTACAGGTATGTACCACTACCCTTCAAAGCTAAGATTTTTTTTCTAAAGCTTCATTCAGTCACCTTGCAACATCCCACAAGGATAAGAAATAACATTGAGCAATAATGTTAACATACTAACACTTACTGAATGCTTTCTCATGTACCAGGCCCTGTGCTAAGTGGTTAACTAGGAGACCCTCTGAGTAAGACTGTGTATATACTACGTTCTTAGATGATCACGTGTAAAAAATCTTAGCAAATAAGTGACAATTATGATAATACAGCTAACACATGGCAGAGTCTAGATTAAAATCCACAAAGCTCTGGCTCCAAACCTGTGCTCTTGACCACCACATCACATTGTTTCAAGAATTCTTTTTTTTTTTTTTGTTAGTACTGGGGATTGCACCCAGGGCCTTGGCCTTGGTTGTGCTAGGCAAGTGCTTTACCACTGAGTCACATCCGTAACCCAAGAACTCTATGTGATGAATTCTAAGAAATGAAACATCTTAAAACATGCCATTTGATTAGATATTATTTTCTTAAACTTCAGACAAATGTGTGTAATAATTTTAACATCAGCAATGATAAATCAGCAAGAAAATCCTAGGAAACTGTGGCCATAACCACAAAGTTTTGGTCTACATAATTCTTCATGTGCCTGAGCAAAATGTACTTAAACTCTATAAGCTGCTTGGGACTTAACCCCACATAAGACAGTATGAGCCACAGGAACACAGGTATAATTTCACAATAGGTCTAGTTGAATGGAAAACTTGGCTTTTCCAACATGGGTAACTTGGGAGAGTCACATGGGAACATTTCGTGCTTTCCCTGAATAAATATGGCCTTTCCGGGGAGGTGGAATGGGGAAGGGGAAGAATCTGACTGGACTAGATTTAGAATTTTAATGTTATCTTCAAACGATTTTCTGCATACAATTATACAGAGAAACGAATGAAATGAAAACACATTGAATATACAACTTTAATTTTTAAATACAAATAGTTAAAATAGGAATCTTCTAAATATTTTTTGATTTTGCTTTTCTTTACTTTTTTAACAAACCAGAAGCTAAAGAAAAGATCTGAGTTATCTCTTCTAAAGATCCTAAAAATAATACATGGGGTCTGCATTCAGGGAAATTTACATTAGGGTTAATAACAGATGTCTAGAAAGAAATAAATACAAGCAGTCACAATTTTTCTTTTTCCCTTTTGAAAAACACTTTTTAATTTTCTTTGAAAATGCCAGGCACAAAATAATATGTTGCTTTTGCATGTAGAGTATTAAGTGAACATTTGCTTTTTAATACACAAAGAAATTTGTTCCTTGAAAATGGACTTAGAATGTGCTCAGAAAGGCTTGTCACAGCCTCTTTTTGGATGATAAGGGACCATGTTTTAACAATGTTGACACTACTTATTTTAGGGATGTTCTACATGTTTATATTGTAGATTTCATAAAAGGAACTTACATTAGTGTGTAATACAAAATTTGACAAGGAGAGCACTCATACTTTGTGCCAAAATTGAAATTACATAAGCTGAGTATCTACATCGCCTTGACAACCTATAATATGAGGCTCATGGTTAGGACAGTAATATAAGGTTACTATACTGGTAATGAGGAGGCAAAGACATCAAAACCCAATATAACTATAAGATCACAAATGCAGTGTTTCCACTGTATTTGCCTTTCTGGGCAAAGGTGTAAGGGACAAAAAAGTAAGTTGAGGAGAAATTAGCCATTTTATAGCAATGCTTACCTCTGGAGCCTGGAGAGATCCAAAGAAATGAGGCCACACAACGATTTTCACATGGTGGAAAGAGATTTTAAATTTGTGAATTAGGGCAAAAAATGATACAAGTTTCTTGAGAACATAAATAATATTTGGGGAAGCATCAATGACAAGAAGACTGACAGCATCATATTTACATAAAACATCCACATCAGTGTGACAGACAGATACAGCCATGATCTAACACCAATGGAGTCTTCATCGCTGGAAAAACTTAAAATGAAGCTCTCTTGAGAAATCTAAAACTATAGTTGATTTCCTACGGTAAATATGCCCTGAGTTAATGTGTATATGAATTCTGTCCATTTAAGACTTCTGAAAATTCTGTATTAATTTGTCATGTTCTACAGGTTGTACAGAGAAAGGAAATACAAAAAGAATCCAAGTGCCAAGTCCTTTGTCCTGTTGTACTATGATCCCCCACAAAGCAGTGTATTTTATTTATTCTGGGAACTAGGCTGTCAATGTAGGAGACTGCAAATATTCTGAATTAGTCATATATTACTATGATATTGATTTAAGATCTTGAACAATATTACTCCTACCAACCTTGAATGCACATCTGTTTACCCTTTCTATTCCTAATTCTTCTTTGGCTAACTTGACCCTATGATTAAAAAGTCTTGTCTATAGTGTTAAGTAACCTTTCACCTTCATAGGAAATAATGTACTTTACAGATAACAGATAAAACATCTAGGCAAATCTATGGAAATTCAGGGATAGGAAGTGAATATACAATCCTAACAAACAATAATCAGATTCATCTTTGCCTCATGTATGAAGGGACATATATTTATTTCCCTTGTAAATAGTATATATAACATCATCTCTTAAGTTTTGAATTTATTTGTTCTGAAAATACATATTAGTTTACCAAACATGAGACTTCATGGTGCATAAAAGGCTCATCTCAGAAAGGATTTAATGCATAAGATTATAGTAACTATTTCAGAATATTTGACTACCTTCTGAAAGGTGTCCATCATAGTAAATATTTAGACAGAATGTCATGTGTAGATTGCTTAGGGTACAGCCATGCATTGGAAGCTTACCTGGAGGACCCATAGGTCCTTTTCTGCCTGAAGGTCCAGGTAAACCTTTCTCTCCAGGTGGCCCAGGAAGGCCAGGTGGCCCTGGAGGCCCCAGAAATCCCATTGGTCCTAAAAAAAAAATCCACAAAATTGAGGGCACACAATGAAACGAAACAAAGACACTTGACTGTAGAGATCCACTCCAACAAAAGGCAAGGCAAAGTGAGCGTGAGAATGGAGATCTGCCTTACTCTGTGAGGCCAAGAAGAGCTGCCTCTGTCTGAAGGAAACTCAGTGTTCAGCCAGAAAGGCTAAAGCAAACACGTCTATGATCAAAATGAAGCTAAATTAAAATAAGAAGCCCGTGATCCTGAACTTTCTCTGGAGACAAAGGACTGAACCCAAGGGAGAAATAAGGAAAGAGGTTTGATAACATACTGGCAACAAGGTCCCTCTCATGCCAGAGTTCCTCTCACTCTCTTCCTCACTTTCTTAGTTTCAGGCCCACCAACAGCTCAGCTCTCCCTCCATCTTGTTCCTTCTCTTCTTCCCTCTCCAGTAAGGCCTCTTGTTTAGAGTTCATACCAGATCTTTGGGGAAGCCCTCCCCAGAAACCCAACCATGGTCCAGCAGCTCCTTCTGGGCTCCTCGATGAGAACAATGAGTTTGGATTGCAGAGGCTTCCCGACCCAGCACTGAATAAGACTGGCCTATAATCCTAGCTACTCAGGAGGCAGAGATCAAGAGGATCATAGTTCGGGGCCAGCCCAGGAAAGTAGTTTGCAAGACTCTATCTTGAAAATACTCAACACAAAAAAAGGGCTGGCATAATGGCTCAAGTGGTAAAGTGCCTGCCTAGCAAGGATGAGGCCCTGAGTTCAAACCTCAGTACCACCAAAAAAAAAAAAAAAAAAGACTGGAGACACTATTTAAATTCTCTCAGCATACACCCCTGTAGTGGTCCAATACATGGTGAAATCAACGTGCTTCCCACCATGGTTGTACTTCAAGGCAAACTTCAGGAACTCCCTTACTTCCTTACAATAAAGCATGTCTGGCCCTTATGCCCTCTTGAATAGGGGGTGGGGAAGCATGACATATATTGGTTCCCCAATATATCTCACTTGCTGTCTATGCTTCGGCAGGTCACTGTTATTTACTTGGCGTGTACTTTCTCTGGTCCTGTTGCTTATGTCCAGGTGGAGTTCCATTCTTCAGAGAAGCAGCTAGGGATGAAGAATGTTACTTAGCCCCTTCCTCCTTCCTCTTGGTGACCAGAGCATTGGCATCTTTGGTTAATTCTGATGTGCAATTACTGGAAGCCCACAAACCTACAGATATAAGCACATCATCTAAAGCTGATTTTATTGCTAAAACAGATGAAGAGGGTTGGTGCATACAGTAGTGTAGATATGCACTGTGTGACTCCACACATGCCCTTTGCACTACTGTCAGGGCAGCCTTGCGATGGTGACCTCCCCACTGCCTTAATCTTTAGCTATGTTTCACATGGAGTTCAGAAATCAGGCGGGGTGCTAGTTATCGCCCCTTTGCACACTTCAACAGTCATTTCTCTGATACCCAACACCCTTATTTCTCAAATAAGGGAGTTAAAATTAATACTTATTGGCCTCTTTTCAACAAAATAGTTCTATGAACCCAATAATTATCTGAAATTCTGATCCAGAAGCTCTTAACCACATATGGCTACTAAGCATGTGAAATGTAGCCAGTTCCACTGGATTGTGCTGTAAGAAGTGTAAAATACACACTGGGTTTCAAAGGCAGGAAGGGGGACTGGCTTACTGGGGAAAGGAACTACATTTGCACGATCAGCTATATTATTTCCTTGATGATTTGATAGTGATTATATGTTAAAATAATGCTTTAAAATGTTATATTAAGCTGGGCACTAGTGGTTCACACCTGTAATCCTAGCTACTCAGGAGGCAGAGATCAGAAGGAATAGTTGTTCAAAGCCAGCTTGGGCAAATAGACCCTATCTCGAAAATATCCATCACAAAAAAGGGTTGGTGGAGTTACTCAAGGTGAAGACCCTGAGTTCAAGCCCTAGTACTGCAACAACAAAAAAGAGAAAGTGTTATATTAAAGAAAAAAAAAGCATGAGCGTTAACTTCACTTTTGAAATGTGGACCACTACAGTTTTTAATTATGCACAGACTTACATTGTATTTCTAGTCCTTAGTTCTGGTCCAAAAGATTATCAAGAATGTTATTATGAGACAAAGATATCTTATTTTTCCTTGTACAACTAACTTTTACTCACACTTGAGGATTCTTTGGGGAAGTTAGAGAATTTTGAAAATATATTACTGTTTCCATAAGAAATAGGGTGTCATTGTTGGGGGGTGGTACCGTAGACTCTCAAGGGTAAGACAAGTTCTTTACATATTACTTAAGGAACAATTGGCATTCATACCTTTTTGGCCATTTTTTCCATCACATCCTGGAATACCCTGGCACCCCGGAGGGCCTGGTGGGCCTGGGGGACCTGGTGGCCCTGGCAGACCACAGTCACCTGGCTCCCCTTTCAGAAGATCAATGCGCCCAGGAGGGCCTGGAGGCCCAGGTGCTCCTGATACAAAAAGGAGCCAAAAATGTTTTGTGAGTCAAAGACAAAGACACATACTAGATGCCTGAGAGCTTCTTAAGGAAAGGAATTTAGTGATTTGAAAGAAAGGGATGTAGGGAATTAGAAGAATAAGAAAGTCAGTAATACCAGAAATAAAACAGAGTGCATCCTCTGGAGCCCAAGCTGAGAAATGGGTTAGTAAATGTTAGGCAAAAAGAACCTAAGCTAGACCCCATTTCCCTCAGAGCCATTCCTTTTGCTTATGATTTTTGTCTGCAGTGTCATCTCGCTGCTTTAACAGGATGTATATATATATATATATATATATATATATATATGGATGGATGGATGGATAGTTGGTTGGATGGATGGATGGATAGTTGGTTGGATGGATGGATGGATAGTTGGTTGGATGGATGGATGGATAGACAGAAAGATAGGCTTTTAAAAAATATGGCTGATGGGAAAATTAAATTATTTTAAAAATTATTATTAAATCAAATTTATAATCCTATTTGAAAACAAGTGTCTACACACAAGGAAAGAATGAGTCAATCTCAATTCTTTTCTCAGATATTTCTTAGCATATTTTATTGCTTTTCTTTTTCTCAGTCTACAGTCCTACCCATATCAAAGTTCTAAAGATTTCAAGATGGTAGATCTGCATCTCTGTAGAACAGTTCTAGGAGCCAGTAAGAATGTGACTGTCTACACTGAGCAATCCATGGAACTGAGCCATGTGTCTCCTCACTTCCAAACAATCTGTAGTCTACTCTGACTTTGTTAGCTTACAACAACATCCAAAGTCTTGCCCTGCCAGACTTCATCTTTGTGAAGTGTTGAGAGGAACAACATGCACTGCTAGCAGCCTATGAGGAGACTGTGTGTGTGTATATAACAGACCTAGGGTCCTACCACTCTAGACCAATGGACAGGTGCTAGAAATCAACAAGGAGAGTATGATTCCCTTCTCCTGGACACTTCTGAAGCCTCATAGGCAATACCAAGCTAGTGATGGGAATGCTTGCTCTATGTTCCATTTGTTCCTGGGTAGAGATGGTCTGATAGAGTTGATATGGAAGAGTGAGATGGCTACATTCTGGGCCATCTATATGATCCTGATAGCTCACCACTACCCACAATCCCACCTAACTGTGTCTTACTTATCTATCTGTCAAATTGATGGGACTGCTTAGATGTTTCTACTCTGCCATTCTCTGGTCCTACAACCCTACTAAACTTGCAGCATCTAACAGAGCATTGCCATCTTCTGCAATGATACACTCTTACCTCTTGAGCCATCAGGACCAGGAAGTCCCTGATCTCCAGGTGGACCCTGGGCAGGAATGTCACCCTTAGGAGCTCTTCCTGGACTGCCTGCAGGACCAGGTGGTCCTGGTCTCCCTGAATAAGCACATGTTCACACATTAGCCTTATTGTATGTGGAAGATTTTGAATTAGTTATTGAGAGAGGGACAAAGAATGATGCATCTTACCTGGGGGACCAGGGAGACCTTTTTCTCCAAAAAGACCTGGAGGAGAAATTCCTGGACTCCCAGGGTCTCCTTTCTCCCCTTTAAGCCCAAGCATTCCCATTGGACCTGGTAGGCCCATTTCATGCAAACCTTAACAGGAAAAAGAGCATCAATATTGCACCATCTCCTCATTTGTCCCTGTTAAGGTATTATGGTGGAAAGGACCTACTTCCAAATACGGGTGTGGCAACAGTAGCTGGTTTTGTAGAGACCAAGCTCTGGCTGGATTGGTGATCCAAATGTCTGCATACTGTTTCTGGGTCACCATTTCTCTCTTACAACCCATCTTTTATGATTGTTTCCCAAATTTTAAAAAGCAATAGCTTAGTGGCAATCCCAACCCCCCAGTGCATAAAGCAAAAACAAATGAGATATAACAATAAATAATTATGAATAAACCACTTTGAAATTTGAGTAGAAACTGGCATATAGTAGGAACTACCATATCTTGGAGTTTCCCATTGAGCAGGGAGAACATCACCAATTTCTTAGAAGTAGTACACATTTAATCAGAGTATTTGAAAGAGCTACTAAATGAATCCTAAGTAACCAAAGTTACTTTTTTAATTGCCCAAGCTCCATAAGGATTTCATCTCTCTCCAGCAATAGACTCAAAACTATCCACACAATTCTACCCTTTTCCCACAGTCACTGAAATTTACATGTACAGTTCCAGCTGCTTTGTCTAATTATAACTTATTTCTCTGAGAAAGGAACACAACAAATGTGTTCTTTAATGGAAGAAGCTAAAACAGTTGTTAAAGATTACCCTTTCTGTGATATCAAAAATAACAGCAAATTATTCAGGTAATTTGTCTTAGCACAGTAAAGGGATGCTAATAGTACTAATTAGATCATGTGACTATACAAGTCACTTAAAAATACAAGTTTTTTTTAAATACCCTATTTGTTATTCATAATATTTTCATGGCCCAATTTAAGCAATTATTCAGAGCATTTTTAGCAAAGAGATAGTCTCAAGCAATACCAACCAAAGGCACTGTGAGCCAACCATTCCTTCTTACATAAGATTTTCTTAAATATCCTCTTTATATAAGTCATCATCAGCACTAGAGGTAATTCCAGTGCTGTGTCTCTACACTAAGCCAGTTTTTTCAGTTTCACCACCAGATGATATTAAGTGAGGAACTCCCAGGGGAGGGTGCCTCTTATCTTGTGAGTTTTTCTTATCTTACCTGAAGCACCTTTGGCTCCTTTCTCACCCTTCAAACCATGCAAGCCGTTCAGGCCAGGAGACCCAGAGGGACCTGAAACACACCAAAGGCCAGACAAGCTGCTGATGCCTACTGTCTGGTCACAGTCCCAGGCACAACCAGGGGATGGTGCACTGAAGGGGAAGGAGGACACCTGGAGGTCATTATCAGGATGTGAATCCAGGTTGATGGTTACTTAGCACATTCATCTGATGGAGGTTTTCTGCCAAGACAGGTTAACACATATGTTGTTTTGGTTTTAAAGTACCCCTGTTGGTTTATAACCGTATCATGACCAGTCACAGTCTAGAATTAGTGCTTCTTGGTGCAGGAGGTGATCCTTGATTTGATGAATCATTCTAGAAGAGGAAAGAGATCAGTTGGGAGCAAATCTATGTCTCCTACTTCCTAGGTGGGAGGGATCCTTGCTTGCCACCAGGGTCTGTGAGTTAATGTGGTAAGACAGCATGACAGCTGTGACGTCCTGGGGAGCATCTGTCCTGCCTGGTTTTATTTTAATCACTGTACTACTCTGGAAACCAGGCCTGCAGGTCAAGTTCAGCTACTTCTCTGCAGCCACTCCTTTTAGAACCATTCTGATGTCTTTTGACAGCAACCAAACTTTAATGATTATCACTGAATTCAAACTCTAGGCCCTGTAATCAGACATCATCCCACTGATGCCTGGGCCTTCTCTGAGAAACTTCTGCCAGAAATCATATGTTCCTCTAAGGAGCTACCATCCTGGCTTTACTTATCACTGAATACTTCCAGTGGAAAACTTTTCCTTATTGTTTTCAATCAATAGACTTTGAGTTGTGTTTGACTTTTTCAAATGAGTATCTTTTCAAGTGAGAGTTTCCTAATTTACCAGCATCAAGTTAGAGGAGGGAGAAGGGAGGAAAAGAAAGGAAGGAGGAGGGGAGAAGGCCAGAAAAGGCAGATATCAATATGACAGAGCACCTCTTGAGTGCTGAGCACAGTAAAATGCTGTCCCACAAGTCTTTCCCACGCAGGGACTGAAGCGTCTCTCAGCACCTGGCCAAGCCTGGTGACTTCCAACTTCATTGCTGGGTTTTCCATCCAGTAACTGTTCTTTCTCACCCAAGACTGAGAGCTCCTCCACACACAGCCAGCCATTCGCTCAGTCTAAGTTCATATCTCTCAGATTTGGAACAATAACCCTCAGTTTATATGACCAAGTGAACAAAGAGAAAGTGTCCCCCTGCCCATGATACTTACAGAGGCCTCCTTACATTGACTGTGCCTATGTCGTTCTGTATAGCAAGCATATCTTTGGGCAGCTGTCTCCACCACTCAAGGGCAACTCGGAGAGCAAGATCAGGTGTTATTTGTCTTTTTATCCCCACACTTGACATACTACCTGGCACACAGTAGGTATTCAATAAATGTTTATTGAATGAGTACATAGGAAAATGTAGAACAAGGAAGGTGAGGGATTGAACAGGTGGAGAGAGCACTATATTTTTTTTCTTTTACTGATATGGAGAGCACTATATTTTAAAAAGTGGACTATAATTTGCATACCACATTTTTTTTGATATATTATGGGTCAAATATGATTTAGAGAAGTTAAAAGAATCCATGTGCATAAATAATGCAAGTGCTAATTATTCTCTGTTCATTAAAGCAAGTCTTCTGTGGACTTTTTATAGAGGATGGCACAGTTAGTTGGTTCATTCTATTTATTAGCAGCACTTCAAATAGACAATTGTTATTCCCTTTTTAAAATCTCAACTTTAGACTGATTCAAATGAGCCATATTCTCTTGCACTTGAAAGGGAATGAATCTTATTTTCCCTAAATTTCTTATTTCCTAACCATTTTTAACAGTTTTGGCTTAGCTTATTTTCCAATTCTCTTTCCTATTTTATGAGCCAATATTTCAAGTTTGCACCAAAAGAACACAAAGACCTTCTTCATCTGCCAAATTTGGATACTTATTGCAATCTATCTGAAATGATAATAAATTTTTTGAGACCACTCTGCTCTTTCCATGTGTTTTGATCTCCAGTATTAGCCACCAAGATTGATGGCTTGGGGACTTGGCTAAGGGAGGAATGTCCCAGCCTGTGCCAACTCTCCATTGTCACATCAACACATCCAGATCCTAGGCTGTCACAGCCCAGTCCCTTGCCATTGTTGAACTGGCCGACCCTTATCTGACCCAATGTTATCTTCCTAAATTGAATGCAGCTACATCTGGGTAGGGTTTTAAGGGTAATTTTTCCTTTTGCTGAAAGCTTTTATCAATCCCATCTCTAAATCAGAAAGTTGTTCATGCATAAAATATATACAGTGCAGATGAGAGGCAATTAGGCTAACAAAGCACATTCCTGGGTAATGAGGAATTTTTATTCACCTCTCCGATCGTCCTTCTGCTTAACAACCATCATTTAAGGCTGCATCACGCTGCTCTCTCAGGCCAGGGTGCTCTTCCTCTAGTCAGAAAATCTGATTTCTACCCCAGCACAATTGTGTCTTCCATTTGCATTGCCAGCTCACTCCTCATGACTGGATTCCAACTCTCAGTTTGTGTTTTTGTTCTAAAACCTGAAAATGCTACTCTTTATACAGGTTTGCACTTTTAATAGTGTGACCAACACATCCCTGTTTGATGGAGACTCCTCTGGTTTTAGCACTGAAAGTTCCATATTGTGACAGCCCTTCAGGCCCAGGCAAAAATGCGACAGCTGGCCACTCTAACTTTAAAGCAGATGAGAAGGTAGACCTTTATTGGTTGAAATCTCTTACCCAAAAAAAAAAAGACTCTGAAATAAGATCTAACTTTTTTAAGGCAGCAGTACATGAGTACCTACTAAGGGCATAAGATAAGATTTCCCAATGCAAAGAGTTTTAGCCTCCCAATATACTTTGTGATGAGACAATGGGAAGCAAGAAATAATCCCTGACATGGCAGAATAAATAAGCAATGACAGCAAATTTGATACGCTGAGGCTGGAGGGTGAGAGTATGGGGCTGGAATGGAACAATCTAGTTATAAAAACAGGGGAGAAATTTTCCCTGATAAAAGGCATTTCAAAGTGTTTTCCTTAAGATGATTCTATACAGAATCATCACATTCTATACAGTGGTGTTATGTTACAGATAATTTTCTTTAGGTGTTCATCATTCCAACTTTACGTAAATGCCCAACTAGGAATTGGGGGTTTTCCTTTCAGAGGGCATATGCACTTAAAAATCTAGGAATCACGCCACTTTTAGCATATGTCTAAGTTAAAGTTTAAATCTGATTGAACACAAGCAGGACTCAAAATCCATATGGCCTGTTCTAGCAGAGCAAACAACTTTGAGTTCAGCAGCTGGTTTGTTCAAACAAGATAATCAGTTGCCTTGACTTATTTAGAACATACTTCAAATATTTACTTTCGGAGGAGTTCAAAGTGTTCCTACTGGAGTGTGGTTCATTTTTATATCAGCATGATAAACTGCAACAGTGAGTTTATACTGTAGGTGTTTTCGTTTTAGGAATGAATTTCACTGTCTTGTTTTGTTCTGTTTAGCCCCAGCATTCTCTGGAATGTGTGCAGTGAAATAGCGTCACTGCGTGGTCAGTAAGCACCACTGCAGCTTTGGTCTGTACTTGGCGTGAAATGTGAGTTTGTTTATTTGCTCATTTCCTCAATGTCTCTCCTTAACAAACTCACTATTTCACTACATAGTTAAAATACGATTAGACATTACTTTTTGAGTAATTGTGTTATGGATCAAATTCATTAGCTATTCATTCTTTAATAATATCATGCTGAAGTTATGTGTTAAATGCATAGTAAGTCAAGAGAAAGGAAAATCAACAACTGTTAACCTGAGTCTAGTCATTTTGATCAAACTGGGTATATACTGTTTATCATCAAGACATTGAAAATCCTTGCTGATCTTCTAAAGTGGGAGAGTAGGAAAAAGTGGAAATGCAGTAGAAGAGGTTAATAACGAAAATGTTTTCTCTTGGTTCATTACTAATTTCTTCTAGATACAAAAGAATGTCAATGAATACCCTCATGAGAGCTTCAGGGATTGCCAGAGACAGGAAATGGCCACAACCATCAGAGAAACTTTAAAAATAATAGAACAATAATTTTGCTTGAAACTCTAAATACATGATGAATCTCTGGTCTTTGCCTGACTAAAAATTTCAGTGCAAAGGGAGAACAGTACCAGGCTATCTTGTCTTGTATTAGGAATTTTTCCCATCAGGTCATTTGGTTGCATAGAAATCCATGAGCATACTTGCTTTTCAAAATAAATGCTTCCCTATCTGCAAAATCGTGCTGCATCTCAGCTTGCTGAAAACTAGAATTGTTTTAAGAGTGAAGAGAGAAAAAGAGGAAGATAGAATTAGATTATCAAAACAAGAAAATGACTTAATCCTGTAAAAAGTAGTTTCCAACTCTTTTGAGAAAAGGAAGTTTTGTATTACTAACTTTTAGGATATGTGCAAATCAATGAGCAGAAGGTAGGTGGGAGAAAAGGGAGAAAAGAGACAGACAGACAGAGGAGGCTTGGTTACAGGAGTCTACCAAGTAAAGCCTGACCATTCGACCTCAACTCCTAACTCAGCAGTGTGTTACTATTTTTGTCTATTTGTTTATTTATTCATCCTGCCAACCAAAATGCTTACTATATATCTATGGCATATAAAAAAGGTCTTGCTTCTTAAAAATTGTATTCTATTTGGAGGGAAAGGCCTCTAGGCAAACAAATGTGATGCAATGTAGGCATTATACTAGAGCTAAACACAAAGTTCCCACAGAAAAAGTACTTTGTCTAAAATAAGAGAAATGGACTAAAGAGATATAAATGTCATGGACAAATGGGAGAACATGAAGATCTGTTGATAACAAGTCATTGTATTGTACTGTGTTGTTATAATATCCAGACTTACAACCAATCTCTATTACCTTTAAAGGTCAAAAATTCAACCTGGAAAATGTTTCCTTAACAAAGATAATAAATACTAGTTATTCTTTCTCCATAACACCTTGCTCTTTCCCCTCCCCTCCACTTATCACAATTGGTAAATATATATTTATTTAAACATATATTTTTTATGTCTGTCTCATCTGCTAGACAGCAAGATCTAGTGAAGGCAAGATTCAGGTCTATTTTCTTAAAAACGATTAGCTCAGCACCTGACACAGAGCCTAGGACATATCAGAAGCTGACTATCTGTGAAGAGAATGAACGGACAGACCTGGCCATCATGACGACACTGGCTAAATGTGCTCAGAACTGAGATGGGGACACCAGCATCCTGGACCTTCCCTGGTGGAAGGCAGGCCGGGAGGGCATTGGCTGCTCAAGCCCTGAATGAAGAGTGGGAAGATGCTGATGGTATCCACGAGAGAGTGGCATGACCCAGAGCAGAGTCACAGCCTCAGGAAGGGTGCTGTGAATTTTCCCTCATCAAACTGAAGGGTTCAGATGATCTGGGCATCCTTTCTACTTACCTTTTACCCTGGAGGACCTGGTATCCCTTGATCCCCTGGGAGGCCTCTTGGCCCAAGGTCTCCCATTTCTCCTGAATGGCCTTGAAGCCCAGTCTTCCCTTGATCACCTGAGGAAAATAAGGATGATATGAGTAACAGTCACTGGGAAAGTCATCTATGTTCTTAATATGTGTGGGACCAGGAACATGGTTTTATTACTTTTTCTTCTTAGATTTTTCACTTTAAAGAGAAAAATACTTAACTTCAGGAGAAAATACATTTCGAAACAATTGACATTGCCAATTATGGTTTTAAACTCCCCCCTTCCCCTTTTTTTTGTCTGAATCAGCGGGAAACGGATCATTAAAACACTGGCCTGCAAATGGGACTTTTGCCTTAGGTCTAAAGCAGGGGACTGGACTTTGATCACATGACAAAGCGAGAACACACAAGGAAGGTATGAGGATAGGTAAGACACCCAAAAAATTAGATAGCATTTGTTGCCCTCAACACAGAGAAACTAAAGCAGATACTTTAAAGCAACTGAGGCCAATAGGAGAAGGGGACCAGGAACTAGAGAAAAGGTTGGTTTGAGAAGAATTAACTTAGAAGGTAACACACATGCACAGGAAATCAATGCGAGTCAACTCCCTGTATAGCTATCCTTATCTCAACTAGCAAAACCCTTGGTCCTTCCTATTATTGTTTATACTCTCTCTTCAACAAAATTAGAGATGAGGGCAAAATAGTTTCTGTCTGTTAGCAAGGGGTAAGGGGGGAAGGGAAAGGGTGGGGGGAAAGGGGGAGAAATGACCCAAACATTGTATGCACATATGAATAAAATGAAAATTAAAAAAAAAAGAACTTTAAAACACACACACACACACACACACACACACACACACAGAAGCAGCAGAAGCAGAAGCTGATAGGCCTTAAAATCTGGGTTCCGAAATCCTGGAACTTCACTTCCTCCACATTCCTATCACCAGAATATCACAGGGCCAGCACAGATGAAAGAGGAAGGGACAAAAAGCTCCAATATTTGATGACACCCAACCATAGTGAGGGATGACATTATTTGGGACATCTTTGAAGCTCACCTATTACAGACTTTCTTTAAAATCATAATAAATTTTTAAGCCAGTAATTAATCCTGAAAAAAAAAGCATAATGGGAAAAACAGCATCAGGAATGTCAGGGGAAATGAGGAGAGTGGGGAAGGAACTTGTGTTGTCAGGCCACCTTTTGTGCCTTACACCACACTTGAACCTTGCAGGCACTGTCTTAGTTTACTCTCAGTATTTAGGGTACCCAGTAAGATAGCTTTATAGGTAAGGAGAGGTACGTGTAAGTGATCTGTCCAAAGGCACAGGTTGGGAAACAGAAAAGCCCTATCTGAACCCAGGGTAAAGTGAAGACTGGCTCTTCCAATACACCAAGAGCTGCATGAGTGCTCAGTACATTTCCTTTCAAGTACCTGGACACCCTCGCTGTCCCAAGGAGCCAGGCAGTCCTGGCCTTCCAGGGGGTCCTCTTGGCCCTTGAACTCCAGGCAATCCTTGCTCTCCAGGGACTCCAAAGTGCCCTAATGAAGGAAGGACCCAAATCTGAGTTCTTTGAGCTTGTGAATCTATCAATCAGCCAACTGCAGCTGTTGCTATTCTTTTCCATCTTTACTCTTGTATTAAATTTTTTCCCACTGTAAAAGAAGATACCGTTAAGGAAAACTTCACACAACAAAATGCCAATATTTCCACCACCTTAACACAATTTTCCATTTGTACACATATATCCAAATAATACCTACCCACAATATTTATTTCTGATTTTTAAAAATGGTGTTATATCATAAGTAATTTTTCAAGTTTCCCATAGTTTGTCATTTCTTAATGACTGGTCAATACTTTATTAATTCAATTATAACTAAATTAATAATTTAATTTCCTCTCACATTGGCCAAATTATTTCTGTTATTATGCATAATGATTTTTACACTTTTTTTTATCAAGTGTTCTCCTATCAAATTATTTCCCCAGGAACGATTCTCGGGAATAGAATTTCTAGGTAAATAGTGTGATATTTTGGCTCTTTTAAAACATATTTTTAAATGCTGAAGTATTTTAAAATAAATCACAACCATTGTGGAATTCCATCCCTAAACACTTCAGGAGGTAAGCCTGAAAAATAAAACCATTTTTCTATGTTGCTCAAATAATATTATTGCAGCCAACAAAACTAATAACAATCCCTAATATCATTTCATGCTCATTCCGTACTTGAATTCCCCATATTTTCCTCATAATTGCCTTCACAGTTGGTTTATCACACCAAGTTCTTGGTCAGAATTGCACATTGCATCTAGTAGATGTCTTAAATTTAAAAAAAAATCTAAAACAGCCCCCTTCTCATAAGAGTGACTTGTGAAAGAGAATTGCTCATCTCTCCTCTAGTTTTCTAGAATAAGGCCTTTCAGGATCTGGTTCTTGACACAGGTGGCCCATGGTTTGGAGCAAGTATGGCACCTACTCACACTGCCATGTCATCCACCCACAGGGCCATGACCACAACTCCAAGAGCAAGTCATGCTCTTACTGAGAACTTTTCATTCGCTTATTTTCTTGTTAATTTAGTAAGGATAAGATAATATTTCAAATTATTTAAATTACACTTCTTTGGTTTCTAGAGAGAACAACTATTTCCCCATATGACTATTTATAATGTATGACTTTAACTCATGTTTATAACATAAACCAGTAGTCTGTGCTGAAAATCAGTGGCTGAATCTGCAAACAAAATACATGGCTCTGTAATTACAAACCCACTGAGAGTATAGTCATCATTTATTACAACACATGAAGCAAGCCAATGTCTATACCTGTCCCCTCATCAAACTTAACATCTATTTGGCTCCACTCTGTGTTATCATGTTTATCCCAAGAATCTTCCTGCAGAGAAAGTATGGCTGCTTCACTGACTATCAGCTCCAGATGAAAAATAAGCATTGGAAGATGGAAGGCCAGAATTTCTGAGATAATCCATACTGTATTTTCTCTCTGGATTGAAGGGGATAGAAGGGACAGGATGGACCCCAGAATAATCACACATAATCCTAGGACAAGTGGCACATCTATTCGTCTTCCTTAGGCTCATCTAAACTGAATTCAGCTTTTTCCAGCCAATGGAAATAGTGTATTTAGGTAAATTTTGTGCTGGTGAGTAACATATAATATTTTTAAATTTCTGCCCTGAAGTTATGGTAAAAAAAAAAAAAGGAAACAATTTAAATAGTGATAACTATAGGAGATCAGGTCAAGGATTCTAAGTTGAATTTTCTGGAAAAGTCTGCCTAAGTATAAAATAGGATTTTAAAGGCCCACAGTTTGGACTACCATGAACTTATAAAATTTGGAATCTTCAGGGTTTACAATAAAAATACCAGTAAGTGTGGAAAAATCTCTTAATGTCCTGCTGATTTCATGATGATGATGATTGTGGTGGTGGTGATGACGAAACTGCACAGTTTACAATTTACTTAAAGGTATCTCACATGGTTCTCAGAGGTATCCTGTAATGTACAAGGGGCCAGTTTACAGGTAAAGAATCTGAGCGCAGAGAAGACAACCATGTAGCCCAATGTAGCTGGACTTCAAGCCACTGTTTTTTTCCTTTCTGTGACTTCTCACCCTGATATTTATTATGAGCCCTTATTAATGCTGGCCACAAAACAATTTTCCTCATTAACTACATGTTTAAGTTATACATCCCAGTTAAAATATTATATTGTCTAAATACATGTGTCCATGTCAGAGGGAAAGGTGCATATGAAAGAGTGGGAAATGATGTTTTACCACTGTAAAAGCTTGTTTTCCTGTCAGACTTCCATTTTAGCAATTTTATGGCACAAAAACAACGAAAATGAAGATTTCCCATAATAGTTTCATTTAGACATTCTGTTATAGGAAATAAAACATGACTCTTTCCAGAAGGAATTTTAAAAGTAATGCAGAAAAATTATTAATATAAAGTCTTTTAATTTACAAGGGACCTATGTCCATCCAAGCCTGTCTTTCCTCTGACCCCTACTGGCTAAATGGTGCTCTTGGCCAACCATCGATGCGTAAACATCCATTCTACCCTTACAGGAGATATCCCTGTGTGCATCTTTGTACATTTGTCTGATTACTGACTTAAGAAAAAGTCCTAGAAGTAGAATTCCTAACTCAAGGGTATGCATATTTTATAAATAGTGGTGCATGTTTCCATAGGGCCCAGAAAGGGAGTATAAATTTGTTCTCTTAACATTTTCTGAAAGGTAAACATATATGAGTGAAATCAATACAACAAAATATCCTAAGACCAATTTCCTCTCCAGGGGTCCTGTTCTGTTCTCTTGAGCGCAAATGAATTTTCCTTTCTCTGTGAAGCATGGAGCTGTGCTAAGCACAGACTCCTCCCTTCTGCTGGGGGTCATCCCATGTGGCTGACAGTGGCTTCAACTGAGGGCAAAATCTCACTGGTACATCACGATTCATTCTGAAGGATTCTGCATTGTTAGTGATGAACAAAGTAACGTTGTGAATGACTTGGGTTTCTTGTTGGCAATGAGCTTTTATGTGTGCTTGGTTTCTTTTGATTTTCTTAAATTACAGTAGAGTCAATAATAGCTCCACAATGATACACCTGCCTGACTTGCATTCTCATATGCCATTATCAGTGGGAGAGAAAGGGCTTCCAGGAAAACCACAGCCACTTTAAATGACAGAGTTTGCAAAATAGTCCAAATGTTAATTGCTGGCAACATTTACTGCTGAACTTCATAAAACATGGGCAGGCCTAGGGGAGTGTGTGCTTGTGTCAGTGTCTTTGGTTATGTAAGCCATGGTGGAAGATTAAGAGCCACGGTGAATGATCCTGGTGTCTTCTTGGGCCAGAGATACTATTGAAGAGATGTACATAATCCTTTCAATGTGTGTCTTTAAGGGCAAGGGTGACAGAAAATACTGAAACAATCACTGCCAACTAGAATGATAGAGGTCCTTGTCCTGTTTTTCACTAAAGTACTCGTTTTTTGTTTTGGTAAGAAAAACATATACCTTGATGTCCACGGCTACCTGGCTCTCCCTTGGGACCAGGTGGACCACACAGATAAGCAGACTCGCCTTTCATTCCTGGAAGTGATAAAACACATGTAATGTTCCTTAAGAAAATTTAATTTGGTCTCATACAAATGACTCAATGACTTTCATGGTTATTTGTCTTCATAGTCTATCTTCAAGTATTCCAGGGGAGGAATTTTTATTTATTTATTTATTTTTTTAAGATTGATAATTTTATTATTATTTTCATTCTATTTTTACAGTTTTTTATTGTTGTGATGGGTGGGAATACATTGTAGCATTTACAAATATCCTTACAATATACCAAAAATATCATACTTGAATTCACCCCCTCTACCATTCTTCTTTATCACCCCCCTCTCCCCCTATTGCTGGAATAGTTTCAACAGGTCTGATTTTTCCATTTACATACATGTGTACACAGTTATTTGTACCATATTCACCCTCCTATGCCCTTTCCCCACCTCCTCCTCCCTCCCACTGATACCATCCCCTCCCCCCCAGACAGGACCTATTCTGCCCTCCTGTTCTTTGATTTTGTAAGTGAAAAAAAAAGATATTTTTGCTTAAGATAGCTATACAAGAGTTTCTTTGTGACATTTCCATGTATATATGTATTATAACTGAAATTGGTTCATCTCCTCTATTTTTCTTCTTTCTACCTTAGTCCCTTCTTATGGTGGCTTCAACAGGTTTAAAAATTCTATATTCAAAGCTGCTTATTTTCCTAAATAAGAATAAATAGAGGCTGGGCACAGTGCCTTATATCTATAATTCCAACTACTCAGGATGCAGAAATAAGGAAGCTCAAAGTTCAAGGCCAGCCCATGCAAAAAGTTAGCAAGACCCTATGTCAACAAAAAAGCTGGGAGGGGTGGTGTGCACCTCTGATCACCGCTACAAGGGAGGTGTAAGTAAGTGGATCACAGTCCAAGGTGGCCCTGAAAAATAACTGAAGCAAAAAAGGGCTGTGGGCATGACTCAAGTGGTAGAATAGCCGCCAAGCAAGTATGAAGCCCTGAGTTCAAATCCCAATACCTCCTATAAAAGTGGAAATACAGATGCAGGATGTGATTTAAACATCATATGCACAATTTTATAGTCCAGAACAATCACAAGAAACTATAGATATTAATAAGTTTGAGTGTTTAAAATTTTTCAAATTTAGGTTTCTTTTAAAGAAATTAATTTGCTTTCATTATGCTGTCTTTATGTTTTAGAAACAAAAAACAGAAATAGCTCCACAAAGCAATTCAACAAGGCTGTATATGTTTTTGGATTCAAAAACCTATGTTATAGCTGAAAACAAGTTTTAAGTGAAGGACTCAAAGTGGAGTTGGAGGGAAGGCAAGACAGTAGGTGGGGCAAGAGTGAGGCAAATTCAGCATGTTTTATAATATCTTCCCACTAGCCCTCGCTTCTGAGAGGTCATGCCTTCTGGAAGGGATGATGGCACTGACTCTTTGGGAGGAATATGGTTCATTCAAGTCAACTAGTCTCTCTCTGAGAAGTTGTCATTTAAAATTTTTTTTTTAATTTGAGAACCTTGATTGTCATTACAGAAACTAAGAAGGTTATCATGAGTTGCTCTGATGTAGTACATATTGGAGTACAATCCAAACATATCTAGAAATTTGCAGACCCTAAATAGAGAATAGATACTAAGAGGTACAAAACAGAGAATAACAAAAGCCAGGTGGTAGACACGTAAGTAAAATGCAGACTGGGGAGAAAAGCAAGAGACTATGATTGCTTAAGGCTAGGTTCTGTTAGCATTAAGCTTTGGGAGAACTGTGTCTCCTATTTGTGGGCTCTATGAAATATATTTTACTCCAGTTACCTTGAATGCATTTCAGCTTCTTACAGACATGGCCCAATACAAGAATGAAGGAAGAATTAGCTTTGAACTATGAAAGGGGCAAAGAGAGTATGATAAATTCAGAGGCAATCATAATAGGAGTGAGTCCTGAACAATGAAGCTACAAGGTATCAAACTCAAATGTGAAAACTTCCCTATTTGTTAATTATTTCTAAAAAAGAGACCTATATATTTCTTCTATATAAATAAGCATATACAGTTCATGCTTTCTTACAGCAGTTATATTTATAGAGTGTGTCTCAAAGAGAATGTACCATTAATGGCCACAGAATTTTAGATGGCTCATTAAAATAGTACTTTATATTTTAAACTTAGTTATTTTAATTTGCATTAAAGTAATACATACCTGTGTATCATATCCATGAATTCACAGATAGTTAGAATAAGGCTAAGTTTACAAAGATGAATCATCTTAAAGTAAGTTTAAAGAAAAGTATTAACCTAATGACATATAACAATAAGAAACTATTGAAGATTTTGTGCAAACATTGTAATTTAAGATATCCTGATTTCAGTTTATTTGCTTGTTTTTCTGGACAAAGAGTTAATATAATCTCTCTGTCTCTAAGGACATTTTTTTACCTTGGGTTAACTTTGTATTTCAGTTTCTCTGAAAAATCTGAGAAAGGCAGAATGTCAGTTGTGTTCACAAGGCAACCTTGTTTTTGGCAGCCTGTAGCCTATTTTGTAAATAAAGTTTAATGGGACACGGACAAACCGTTTTATACATACTGTTTATGGCTGCTTTCATGGCACAACAGAACAGCTGAGCAGTTGTAAATGAGACAATAGGTTCCACAAAGCTGAACATTTTTATGATCTTTTTCCCCTTTGAGGAAAAAGAAAATGTTGACCCTTGACTTAGGATAAAAATAATTTAATTATACATTACATTTGACTTGGGAATTCTTAATTAAACTATTAATATCTGGTGGAAACTCATGACTTTGGGCTTTGTATCCTTTGATTCTTATAAACAAGACCCTAACAGCTGAATATATAAAGTCTTCAGAAGAAAGAATAGCTCCTATGGGACATAGGGTCTCTAAGTCAAGGCAGACATGGCCTACAGGCATGGGTCTGGTCTCCTTGCACTTCAGCTGTCACTTGAGCGAATGTAGTCACTAATGGACGACTGGTAGACTCCCACTAAGGAGGAAGAACTGATAAACCTGAAGGCACACAGGCTATCCTACCTGGTACCCATGGACCTGAGTGACAAAAGAAAACCCTCTGGATTTTGAGTATTTGACTGTCTGCAAGAGTCTAAGAAGAGTCCCTTGTATGTTCCAGTTTGATACATTTTTATCATGAAAAAGATCCCCACTTTCAACGTTGCAAACACCCAGGACTATGAATTTGACAGTTTTCTACCATATTTCTAAGCCACACCTTTAGGTCCTCTTGTTCCATCAGCTCCTGAGAATCCAGGTGGGCCTGGAGAACCCAGCTCACCCTGCCAATTTAATGAAGTAAAAGACTTTAATTGGTTTCCAATACAAATGGCACAAGCATGACATGATCGAGTTATAATTTTCTACAACCAACTTGACATTTATAATTTGCAGTAGTAAAGAAATATGTCTGATTTTAAAAGCTGATGAAACTCCTTCAGAATTAGGGATATCAGTACAAGAGGTGGCATTTCATTCTGTACACATGCTTGCAAAACAAGTAATTATACCATATAACTGGAATTTTGAGTTTCGAGTGAATGAGTCAAAACTAAATAATATCAAAGTCATAGTATACCATAAACTTAAAAAAAATCCACTTTAATCTGCCTAACAAGCATGAGCCCCAAGTTCAAACCCTAGTACTGCCAAAACTCCATTTTGTTCAAAAGATGGATAACCAATTATATTATTTTTTTCGAAAATTATGATATAGGCCACTACACTTATTACATTTGCAGGCTTCTCTAGGAGATGCTACTCTTGATTATGAAGGCTAAATATATTTAAAGCAAAATCTGTAATATCTTTAGTCAAATACAAAGGCTTAGAAACCAGAATGCTGGTGGGTTTTTTAATACGACTTTTTTCCTCAGTAAAGCAGCAGTTATGTGGCAAATCTCTATGAATTGTTTAAAACAAGGCTGGAGTGTGTGAATTAAGTAACCTGTTCATCTATGTTAGGGGAATGAGTCATGAGCACTGGTTGGAAATTAAGTTACATCATGGCCTTCCAGAGGACTCCATTCTTCACTTACACAACCCCTTACGTTCTAACAAGGACAATGATACACACTAGCAAATCATGACTCCTTATGGGATCCTGAAAATAGAAAGGTTTTATTGTATCTTTCCTCATGCAGTAGTAGACCCTTACCTGGTCACCTGGAAATCCTGGAAAACCAATGATCCCTCTTAGTCCAGGTAAGCCCGGAGGGCCAGGGGGCCCAGGAGGCCCACGCTGCCCATTTCTACCAGGCTCCCCTCTGTGAAGTCCAGGTGGTCCATATCTTCCTGGCTCTCCTTTTCTCCCTTGTATTCCAGGACTTCCTTTATCACCTGATGGAATTGGAAGTGTTATAAATCCCGGGTGAAATCTCGGGCTAGGCAATGGTTACACTGAAGGACTTGGATCTACTTTTTAAAAATGAAGCCAAAGCTATTGGGAATAGTGGCATTTGCCCTAAGCCACATCCTTAATGGTTTCTGACTTCAGTAACCTCACTGTGAAAGAAGTTGCCCAAGAATAGTCTCAGGGCCATCAGAGGAAAGAGGGAGCACGCAGGACCACTAGATCCAACATGCTCTGGGAAGCACCCAGAGGACTCAGAACTAGCTGTTTACCTCTAGCAGCTAGTTAAAGAGAAGGCCAAGACAAGAACCCAGGCCTTATGCAGATTAAGCCTGAACTTGAAAGAGAATACAAATGTGGTTGTCAAAATCCTTGATATGTGATGTTTCTGAGGACCAGCAGGAGGCCATATGGGCACTTGTTAGAAGCTGCCCCAGACCTGTGAATTCAGAATCTGCGTGTCAACAAACTCCCTGTGATTCACAAGCACTAGTCAAAATGCCTCAGACAGTCATTGTGCTATTCATCTTTAATATCAACTCCCCCAATCAGAGGTATATTAAGCCTGGAACCAGTATTTTATGTACATCTCAGATTGAACTTAGTTTAGAATATCTAAGCCAGTACATATATAACATATATAACAGGTACTTAGAAAGTTATTTTGGTGAAAAGTACTGAATCCTCACTTGGGCCTGCAAATGTCCGAAGGGTAACTAAAAGTAGGATAAAGCTTCACTGCCTCCATTTTATATTTGTGTCCTTTGCTCTGAGTCACTCTCTGCTGTAATCACTTTCAGCCTCCTTGGACTCCAGGAAGGACAGGGCTGATTGTTAACATCTTGTGACATGTGTCAAACCCTCTACCTCCCACCCCAGATACCAAGGCCTTTCTTACTATTACCAGGTGCCACAGAATGATCAACCAGACCACACCTGCCCCAATTCTTTCTCCACTTCTAAAGCTCTTTGTCTGTATCTCAAAGGTGTGCTGACATGTTTGTTTTGCCTCCTCCTACAGCGCCCACCCACATCATAAACCTGTTTCTTCTGCCTGTCACCACTATTCATCTCTTTATTTGGCATATTGAGACAAGTGGCTGGACCTGACAATGTGGAGGTGCCCTGGAGGTGAGCCCCTGGCCTAGAATTTCTGGTTACAGATACAAATTCCAGCTAAGTTTTAGCATGGAACAGCAAAAAAAGTTACCACAACGTTCATTAGGGTATAATCAGACCTAAGAAATGACCTTTCCCAGTTTCCCGTTAGTGAGAAAGTTGTCTAATACACATACTTGCTTGAATGAACTGTTGAGATGGCAACAGATTTGATGAGGTTAAAACATGAAGTGTTTACCTCTCTCCCCTGGAAATCCATCATCTCCAGGAAGCCCAGATTCCCCAGGTTTCCCCTTCTTGGAAATGATGGCCATTTCTCCTTCATCTCCAGGAGGTCCTCTTGCTCCTGTTGACGTTAATTATACGAGAGAAAAACAAACACATCGCCCATATAACTCATCTGCCACCCACAGCACCTCCAGTTTACAAATCCTCATTTAACCTGCTAAACTGTGTTCACATGGGTGTATCTCACATTACCTACATCACTGACTGAAGGAAGGGCTGCCTTTCACATCCCTGTCTCTACTGCTGTAGCCATGAGGCTGGTGCTCCTCTAGTACTCAGTGATGTTTGCAGCAGTCAAGCAAATTAGTGTCAGGGTCTTCAGTGAGTTAAGCCATGTCTGGAAAGTTACAGTCTTGTATGTCCAGATCCATATCTCTCTCATCACCTCCTGTTTCTTCTATTAAAAGAACAGACTCAGGCTGGCTTAGTGGCTCTTAGGTGGTAAGAGTGCCTGCTCAGCAAGTTTAAGGACCTGGGTTCAAACCCTACTGTTGCCAAAAAAAGCAGACACATATTTCAACCTGGTTCTTCACATAAAGACTTTCAAACGGTAGGAAAGGAATCATATTTTTACCTAATTTTGCAAACACTGTCCAGTTGGAGCAGTATGCTGAGGTGGCGCCAACATACCAGCATGGTGAAAGGTGATTATTCACATTTCAAGAATTTGTGAGCCGATCGTTAAAGCATCAGTAGTTTTTAATCAACTGTAGTGTGACTATTTATATCACAGTGGAAATGCTTACACCACTGTAATCAGCAAATACTACAAATCATGGTATTTTAATTTTTTTTGCAGAGAGCAAATTTGCAATTACATCACTGTTATTAATCCAATTTTCAGTTCTTAGCAGGATAATTATATAGCATAGCAAATATCACTTATGAGGCTGGTGGAGTGGCTCAAGTGGTAGAGTTCAAACCCCAGTACACACACACACAAAATCACTTATCTAAGGTAGCAAACAGTAACTCTTTGATTCCTTGATTCTATGTAAGTAATTTATAAGCTGTTAAAACAAAAATAATAGTAAAATCAATTAATTAAGAAGAAAGGCAATTTGAATTAAATAGGAAGCCATTTTTCCTAAAGAGCTCTAGGGACAAACACCTTGCTTCTAAACACTGTCAAACATCACTCTCAACACTAGAAATGTTAACTTCACTCACTGTAGCTTGAGGGCAGAGAGGTCAAAGTAATGCATTAGTAGGGACGGCACAGAACACTGAAATCAGTGATCATGAAAATTTTGTTTTTATAGTAATGAAAACCCTTTAAATGAACCTTGAGAGCAACTCAATTCCTGGCCCAGATGAAAATGAACTTCTTTTAGTTCAGAGTTCTCTAAACGACAGCCCTCTGGCTACGTACCTCCTGCTGTCAGTTCTTGTATAACCTAAGGGCAATGAATGGTTGTTTCACTTTTATTTATTTATTTTTGGTGTACTGGGATTTGAACTCAAGGCTTCACACTTGCTAGGCACTCTACCACTTGAATCACTCTGCTAGCCCGTTTTATTTCACTCTTAAATGGGGTGGGGGAACTCGAAACACAAAACAATATTTTGTGAAAATTACTTGTGAAAATAATATGAAATTCTAATTTGTGTCCATAAATAAAAAGTTGTTGGAAAATTATATTTTAGGTTCATTTGCATATTCTCTATAGTAGATTTCCTGCTTCAAGGACTGAGTTAAGTACTTATAACAGAGTCTATATGACCTGCAAAGCCCGAAAGATTATCTATCATATTTGTTACAGAAAAGTTTAGTAACCCTGGTTTAAATGAAACAGAGGTTGGAGGACAGGAGCACTGCCTGTACCCACTTCCCAATAGGTAAGAAAGTTCTCTGAGACCCAGAGAACTTTAGAACGCTATAAATCAATGCATTCAGAACACCTGTTAATCTTTCTAAACAAGAGCACTTCATTTACCAGAGTTATATGTAATAAGATTGAGAGACAAGGAAAATGAACTTTGTTTAAAATTCTAAAGCAAACATTACAGAACTAGAGAGATCCAAACTGCAGAAGAATCCCATTTTTTTCCCCAGAGACCACATTAATAGGATTTGACCAAATACCGAAAACAAGCGCGTTGCCTCCCTATACTGTGAAGTGCGCTTACCTTTGGCACCTTTTTCTCCCTGGTCTCCCTGAGAGCCAGGCCAACCCTTCTCTCCGATTTCTCCCTTTCTGCCAGGCTGTCCCTCTCTGCCTGGGATTCCTCTCTCTCCAGGAAAACCAGAGAAGCCAGGCAGGCCCTGGGGTCCTGATAAAATGAGAACATGAGTTTTTATGAAAGAGGTTGGGATGGTTCTTATATATGTTCCTTGTAGTCCACTTAGAGTTGCAAACTCCTGGCAAACTCTGTTTGCACTAAAAGTAAACATCCTCATCATGGCCTTTACTAGCTGAGCTGTCCCACCCGGGCCTGTTTTCTACCCTATAGGCCAGACACGTGGACCCTGATTTTCTGGATTCTGGTCCCATGATGTTTTAACAGCACCATGTGACAGGATAAGGCTGAAGGGCCCATCCAAAGGGACTCTATGACTGTTGCCCAATCTTCTGAGCTGAAGCGTCTCTGGTCCTGTGGATCCAATACCCAACTCCTTGTGATCATTTATACTACATCAAAACATTGTGCCACTGGAAATAACAGCACAGAGGGCAAGAAGGGAGACATCATTAAGGAAGGACAAAGTCAAGCTAATAGAACAGTAAACTCTATTAGGATGGTCATATGAAGCGGCTTTACTTGATAGCTGATTTCAAGTTTATAAAATGAGGAGAAATCATGGAAAAACACTACTTACCCTTTGGACCTGGAAGACCAGGTAGTCCCTCTTCCCCAAAGGGGCCTGCAATTCCTGGAGGCCCTGGAAGTCCATCTGCCCCTGGCAGTCCAGTGGGTCCTGGAAGGCCCTTCATTCCAGCTGGTCCAGAAGGCCCCACTTCTCCCTGCTGTCCTTTCTGACCTGGGGCTCCTAAAGCAACCACAGTGACAATGAGGTATGGAGAATGAAAACAGGCTTTACACATAGATAGGAAAAAATACTCCCAGAAGGTTAAATTATGTAACTATGGCCCATTAAACAAAATTAAAGCAGTATTTATTAGCTAAAATAACAGTAGTCACTTTCCCTCTGTTGAAGAAAATATTTTTCTGATGCTTTAAAAAGAAGAGTAAATCATTTGAACAAATATCTCCCAGAAGATGACTATAAATTGAAATGAATAGGAGTGAAGGATAAAAATTTTACTTGTGTTTAATCTTAGAGAAGAAAACTTTCTAGGAGCTTCCTGAAGCTCTGACCAAGTGAATGTCAGTTAGACTCTTAACTATGATTAACAGAATTATAAGTCAGTACAATATCATCTGGCATTCTTAAGGCTAGAAATAAGGCTATACTGGAAAGGTTTGCCCTATTCTTGTGATTTTTTAAGTGGGCATCTTGCATTTGGATAAAAACAATGACAGACTTAAATAATGTAAATGACTAGCTGAATGATAAAATGAATATCACGTTGGAAATAGTCCCTGCTATGGGTCTAAATGTGCCTCTTCAAAACTCATATTAAAGTTTAAGAGGTAGAGATTTTATGAGATTATGAAGGTAGAGCCCTCATGAAGGGTATTAATGACCTTCTAAAAGAGGTCTGAGGGAGCCATTCACCCCTTCTGCCATGTGAGGACACAAAGGTGTTGTCTCTCTATAAGGAATGCCTCCTAAGCTGTAAAAAGTACATTTTTGTTGTTTATAAATTACCCAATCTAGGGTATTTTGTTATACAGGCCCCAGTAGACTAAAATAGCCATTTAGCATCTTGTTTTGGAAGACACTCCTTCATAGGTCTTTTGCACTCTTCCATGTCTTACTGGGTATGACAAACATGCAAGGTCCTGAGCTCTTTACCTAAGCTATTTCTTAGGGTTGTCTTTGCAGGCAGCAGCCTTGACAGGTGATGCAGTACCCTCCCCAATACAACAAGCAGGTTTTATTGTAGGCTGCTATGAAGTAATGGTTCCTAGGTTGGTGTTCCTCTCACATAATGTAAACTACTGTGTATGTAGCATCTAGCTGTCCCTCTATATGTTGGCCCTACAGAATTTGGGTGACATGGAGAAATGACACAAGCCAATATGAAACACTAAGTAATAAGGTCCTTTGTCTTTGATTTGGAATTCATGAAAGACCAAGAGATGACCATTTGGATTTATGAAAGAGCAAGAGATAATCTTTATTAATTTCTAAGTAGGGTAAACTCCAGACCCTTCATGTTCTTGACCCCTCTGACACTTACCTGGACTACCTGGTGTCCCAGGGACTCCTGGTTGGCCTGGGATGCCTGGAGCACCTCTTTCACAGGAATGGCCAGGTGGACCTGGGATACCTGGAAACCCAGCACTTCCCTCTCTGCCTTTGGGACCTTTGAGACCTGGTAATCCAGGAAAGCCAGCTGCTCCTGAAATGATACAATGTTTTGATGACATACAAACCTTAACAGTGTATAGATGGCCTATAACAAATTATTCACACATGTCACTACTGGAAATAAACATTTTGATCCTGACCCAGGGCTCAAATGAGCTAAATCTGTGAATGGATTTCCTATCATAGATGTAGTGAGTTCCAAATGAATGAAAAAACCATGTATTGTTGTTACTTGATAAGATTATATGTATGACAAAGAAGTAATAAGAAACCACATGGTTTTTGTGACTCTAATTAACCTCTACCTTTGCAGCAGATTTTACACCCAATCTCTATAATATGAACCCAATTTGCACTGTATAAACTTGCATTTTATAGATTTTTATCAAATTTCTGTCTACTAGAAACACAATGTCATAAGCTTCAGAAAGAAACACCCATTATAATTTCATGTCCCAACCTAAAATCTCTATTTTATTTTTGTTTTTATTGTATTTTGACTTATTTGTTTATAATCTTTAAAGAGTAATCACAATACACAATTGTTAGATTATTTCACAATGCATATTAATCTGCAAATGTTTTCTATTTAATGTAATCTTTACAAATATGATTTTAGTTGCCAGTAGCTGAATAGTATTTCTTTGAGTGCTGTGTGTTACTTAACTCCTTTCATTGTCTCCAGTGTTTCCTCCATTGAGGATGATACAACAGTATTTTCATATCTATAACCTTCACCTGCTGCACATTTCCCTTAGATGCCTTTCTCTAAGTTAGATAGTAGCATTAATGGCCAAAATTACCTCTACTGACTCACATAATGAATTTACCTTGGTTTTTTTTTTTCAATTAGTTGTTTCTTTGCAGGTGACTATTTTGACTTACAATCTACCATGTAAGCTGCCTTAGCACCAAGGGCAGGGCTTTATTCCCCTTATCTCCTCCATTTGTCCTGTACAGTTGCTCCTGAGCTGGAGACAGGGGAGGGACTTGGTTCCAAGACCCCTCCCCCACAGATATCTAAATCCACAGATGCTCAAGTCTCTTATACTAAATGGTGTGTTATTTGCATAGAACTCCTGCATATTCTCCCCCATACTTCAAATCATCTCTAGATTACTTATAATAACTAAGGCAATGTAGATGTTATGCCCATGGTTGATATACTATGTTGTATAATAATGATAAGAAAAGCTTTGTACATGTTTAGTACAGATATGTTTTTTCTAAATATTTTTGATTCACAGTTTGTTGAATTGAGGATATGAAACCCAGGCATGGGGTGGCCAGCTGCACTAATGTGCTCTCATGGTTACCTAATAAAAACTGGCCCAGCCACTGTTAGGAAAAAGCCAGAACAATGTCTGGTGTGTGAGCCACAATTTGGTCACCATCCCCCACTGGACTCAGGGCAGTTCAGGATGCTGGGCCCAGTTATAAAGAATCAAATTCGTAAGACTGTGGCACTGAAGATGGTAATTTTAATGATATTCCCTGGGTTACTTTTATGTATGTTAAAATCTGGAAAACTCCACTGTGGATCCTCAAAAAATCCTTAGTGATTTCAGAAAAAATGCAAGTCACTCTCCAGGCCATCTTCTCATCTTGCATTTCACCGTCCACTCTACTGCCCTAGCTGGAGTGAACGTCCCCTCACTCTGTCACCTTTCCAGAGACAGATTGTCTGTTCAGTTCTACCCAGCTCTTCCCATAGAGCTTCCCTCAGCACAACCCACACTACTCAGGCCTCTGAGCTGTTCACCTTCAGTCTGTCCTGTCCACCTTCAACCTGGAACTGGCAGTGACAGGTTACTTGGTCCCTGCTCTTGGTGAGTTTTGGAGCTAACATAGTGCCCTGAACTCAATACAGGCAGACATCCAGGGTTGCCCCATGGAATTGAGTCGATTGAATCATGGATGGCCACCCTGCATTTGAAAACAAGCAACAAAATACAAAGGCTACACAGGAGATGCAAGTTGCTTGCAATGTCATCAGTGCCCATGTGTGAGGGTGAAATGCTTATGTTGTAGCCATCCAAAGCAAGAAAATCTAGGCATTCTTCTGGGATCTGTTCCAAAGCTGAGCTGGCTATCTGGACCCCAGGGATAGCAGGAGCTGTCATACCTTCAGCCCCTGGGCATCCAGGATCACCTTTGGCTCCTTTCATCCCTGGTACTCCTGAAAGACCCCTATTGCCAGGGGGACCTGGGAGACCAAATGCAGGGTCTCCCAGAATTCCTTTCTGACCCTCCACTCCAGGTGATCCAGGAGGACCTGGGGGTCCAACAGGGGAGGACCCCTTTTCCCCTCCAAAACCTGGATCTCCCATGTCACCACGGAAACCTATTTAACAATAACAAAATATTAGTTGTTATATACACAATATAGGACCAATACATATATGACTGCTACTTTGATGAAAACACATTTCCAGAAAACACAGGATATGTACTTAGTAGTTAAAAGACACTTAGTAGGAAATCTTGCTATAACCTTAGAGAAGCTTAATAGGTAAGGTTGTTCTTGCCACTTTTACTAGAGAGATCTGCTGTAATTTTGTCTTTCTTACTATTTTCCCAGTTGCTTTCTTCATCTAGCAAACATTCAGGACTGAGCAGTTTCAACCACATAATACCTAGTCATAGCCTATACCTCATGCTTCAAGGTACAAGGAGCCTTGGCAATTTATAAGATTATCACTATCTACAAGTTATCACAAGGGTCTAATGTATAAAGAAGAACTACATCCCCATTATCTAGTGATTCCTGGGTCATTTCCTTAAAGTCATCCAATTTTAGAAATATTAAAAAGTCCCTGAGAGAAATTTCCAAAGCAGGACAACACTTCATTTACCAGGTGGACCTGGTATTCCTGATATTCCTGGTCTGCCTGGTTGGCCTTTCTGTCCATCTGTACATCTCAGTCCAGGAGCACCTGGAGGACCAGGAAATCCCTTCAGACCTAAGCAATAACAACAAAACACAGACTCAATAAAGCACAAATCAGATGGGAGCAAAATGAGGCATTTTAATGTCTATGTTAAGTCTCTCAGAATATTTCTATCTTACAGAAGTAAAGCTGTTGCCTATCTGGTTTACAAAAGCATTTTGTAAATCATGTGCTTCCTCTAATAAACATTATATAGAATATTTTTGTGAAGGTGCTGTCTCAGAAGTTGTGCTGGGAAGGGTTTTTCCTGAAAGTCTTAGGCAGGCACACCATCATTCAGGTAAATTTTTTGGTTATCTTCCCATGCCAGGTATCAAATGCAAATCTGCAGATCTAGCCTGCCTTTACAGGAGGACAGGGTGATGACCAGTGTCTGCCCTGAGGAGAAAACACCAGAGTGAAGGTCAAGTCTATCTACTTCCCTGAGTATTACTGTACTTGCTCATACATGGAGTATAGGCAAAATGACTGCAAAAGGAATTGAGATTTTATTTCAAATCTTCTCTGATTTCCTATTAAGTGTTAACTCAGTTAAAATAACTTCTGAATTGTGGGCTTCAAAGGAAGTACAATTGCCAACTTAAAGTGAATATTCACTTCCCTTGAAACTAAGACTACTGAAAGAAATCAAACCTTTTTCATTCATTTATGATTGGCATAACTAAAAGTGGAAGTGAACATTCAACGAATTAACCAGAAGTTCCTGCTGATAGAGAAGACTGCTTGCACACTTTCACCATTGCCTGCTCTTTGACATGGGTGTGGCCCCATGACTCGCTTTGGCCATCATACAATCTGAAGGGAGAAGTGTAAATGACAGTAACTTCACTGACAATGATACCTGGAGGTCCATCAGAACCTGGAGGGCCTTGCTTCCCATGGTAGGTTATATTACAAGCAATGGTGTCACCTGGAATAAAAAAAAAATGTAGGTTTTGCATAACTGAGACTCCAATGCAATGTGAGTCTCACTGACAATCATATATGACACCATGTAGTATATGAAGAGTGCAAGGGAAAAGAAGGCTCCTAGCAATCATTATGTCACTTAAATTGCTTTTATACCAAATTTCTAGATCCATCCACAATCTGAATTTCAACTTGCCAAAAAATAATCAACATAATGGAGAGAAGAACATGGATTCTAAGAAGTATTTGTTTCAATAACCCAGAAAAAAATAATATATTTATAGTCCCATAGATATTTAATGAAGTAGGATCAGAAACTTTGATAAATCATGAAATAATAGAGGGTCCAACACTAATCCTGGATTCAGATCAATTTTTGTACATCAAGGAATCGTACAAATAAAGTAATTGGGCTGGATATTAACTACAGCTACCATTTATGGAGGGCCTGCCATGGGTTGGGTGCTTCACATATATAGTCTCTTGTTTTTCTGAAGGCTCAGCGAAGTGGTAATTGGCACCCCAATTTCAACTGGTGTGGAGAATAAGACCCCAAAGTTGTGCCTTGGAGACCCCACATCCTACCAAAATTGAAGGCTTCACTTTTATAATATAAATAATATCTCATAGCTTATTACTTCATATGCTTTCAAATCAAAGATATATGAGATAAATAAAAATTACTTTAGACTTTTCTGGGACTCAATCATGAACTTAAAAAACCTTATCAAACAAAGGTATTTGTCTTTATGTTGTCAAAGCAAGACCCAAAGATATTCTTTTATTTCAAAACTTCAAAATTAACAATGTAGCCTAGGGTAGATGTGTGTATTACAAAAGAAAAAACCCTTAAATAAACCCCTTTTGCCACCTTCTTAAAAAATTTTCAGCTACAACCCTAAAATTGTATATATATATTTTATAAAATCACACAACTGTCAGATGTGTTTAAAGTGTCTCGGTTATTTTTTTTTCCTTAAGATGATTACTATTGGCTTTTTCAGGGACAGTGATTATTTTAATGAAATACTAGTGTTTTTACGCAAATCTACTGCATTATCTCAAAAGATTGTAAAAAATAGATGCTTGGAATATGTGTAACTTTAATACAGTCAGAGTTATAAGCAAACACTAAGAAATGAATGAAAAGCAATTTTGATACGCTAAACTAATAAAGCAACAAACATAACTTCACATTGTAAGTGTTTGTTTTAAATATTCATCATGCTGCAAGGCTTTTGTTTGTTTGACAACGTGCAGCGTTTGGATGTAATTTCATCTAGCGAGTGTGTTATAGCTGTAATAACTTTGCCCAGAAGAGACTCGCTTTAGCTTTCATGATCTCACTTGACATTCTGCCACAAAAACATTCAACAGTACCTTTCTGCCCCTTCAAGCCAGCAAGGCCCCTCATGCCTGGGTAGCCGGGCATTCCTGATTGACCTCTCTCTCCCGGTGGACCAGGAAATCCCTGTCCCGGAGGCCCCATGGGTCCTGGTGTCCCTGGAGGGCCTGGTGGTCCAGGAAACCCTTTATCACCCGGTACTGCATCTTCATGATCTCCCTGGGAACGTTTACATCATGGGTCAATTATCAACCTTTGAAAGTCCATGAATGCAGAGCAGTCATTGTAAGCTAGAGAAACACAGGCAAAAAGTTTCTAATTCCAGGGGACAGTTACTCTGTAGCAAGTGTAACTTAAAATAATTAAGTTAGATTCTTCCTAATACTTTACCCACATATTTTGCATATTTACATTAGATGTATGACATGGGTATGTATACTATACCTCAAATACAGAAAGTAAGCTTTGTGTTATACCCTAAATATGAATAAGAAATTTTATTTAGGACAACTCTCTAATACTAAACATCTTAACACATCAGTAAGTCAAGGGATGTGATGGGCTTACAAATCAAGAAGCTTCTTCTGTATTTGAAGTTGCTTTCCTGCATTTTTATGAGTACATGGATGGACTCCATCACCCTCACATCTGTGGATAAATAGCTAACCAATCCTTTCCCCTATTCCATGAGAGTTTGACCTATGGTTGACTGATCTACTACATTCCTAGGTAACAATGCTCGTGGTAAAATGTATCCCTGGTTACAAAATTTGCACCTGGTTTCGAAGAACTGTAAAGACCTATGGAAACCCTTGATGGAGTTTCCTTGACTGAGGACTCCTATAAATAGCATGTCCATTATGCAGTCCCCAAAAGCTGTGCTATAGTCTTAACACCTCCTGTGGGGGAATGAGACTCTCAAGTCAGAACCACTCTCACATTTTTCATGTTGTGGATCTTGCATCCCAACTTAATGAACAGTGAGGAATACTTGCCTTGCTGGCAAGTAGAGGGCTCTGTCTTTATCCTTCTGAATGGCCTGGCCCCAATGGTGTCTATGAAAGTCTTGTGAATCTAGCTTATTTCTATGAATGTAGGAAGCCTCTCAGTGGGTATTTTAGAAATTCCTCTCCTAATATGATCTGTAAACTCACTTTAGCTTTTCACACAAACATGAGTACACAGTATAATTACTTCTCAGTGACATGGTTTCTCAAAGATTCTCAAGTAAAAGAATGAAAAAAACCAATGATTACCAAGGCTGAAACAGAGCATATTCACATATTTGACACAGACTGAAAGGCCAGAAAGAATAAATACCATCTAACCCAATTTCTAAGCTCTGCTTCTTATTCATGCCTAGTCTGTTTATAGGGTTCCTGTAAATTCAGAGCATGACCCTTTTATTTTATAGCACTCTCTGTGGTTTCCCATGGTAAATGGTGAGCAGCACAGGCGTGGGGTAATAGCAAACACTTGGGAATAAGACAGACTGGAGTTTTCACTCCTGCTTGGTCTACCTGATACAAGAGTAACCTTGAGTAATCTACCCTAAATTTCCATTTTCTTACTGCAAAACAGGGAAGATAATTGCCCTTCAGTAGACTACTGTTACAAGAGAAACACCCAGGTCAGTTTCTGTGATGTTGTAAGCATTCAAAAATACTTCACAAACCCAAGCTATTTTAAGTTCCTAAGCATTGGATCATGTCTCATACCATTTTCTTATAACCGTCATCATCTATATATGGTATCCACCCATCATTTGCCGGTGGGATTTTCCATTGACCAACACATCAGATCCATGCATTTACAACAGGTCATCCTTTCTTGCTTGCTACTTGCCCTCAGGTGCTTCTTCACTAGGAAACAGAACTGAAGCTTATATCAGGATGTATACACTCCCTTCTGTCAACTGAACAGACCTAAACTCAGTGAGACTTTGCAAGATCCAAAGACTCCAAAGGGAATAAATGCCACAAAAATGATACAAAGATTGGGGACATAAAGTCTTGCTATGACTGAACTGCAAATGAGGATTTTAGACCATCTCCAATTATGACACACCTTTTCTAACAATCAGCTTTTGGTGACAGAGAGCTAAAAACCCACTGATTGTGGCAAGCAGGTGCTTTACTGAGTTGCAACTTGATAAACTGAGAAGGGGAAAATAGATACCTGTGAGACCATATAATTAAGTAAAATTCTACAGCAAGAGAATTTTACATACTGGGGGTCCTGGATCCCCTTTTTCTCCAGCATGTCCATTCCCACCATGTTGTCCATGCTGCCCTGGAAATCCTGGTGGTCCATCAAGTCCTCTTTTTCCTTTGTCCCCTGAGAACAGAGGCCAAAAGACATGCAAGCTTTTATCAGTGGAAGAAAAGAGGACTAAAGATAAAGATAATGACATTTATTCTATGCAGGTTGGTAGTTTCCTGGGTGTCTCAATTGTCCAAAGTCATACGAACCATGCCAAAGCCAGAGGGGAGAATGACAATTGCCAAACTTATTGAATCTTTTCCCATTCTAGCAAGGAGGTGGTATGTGGAATTTGTAGTCACAGAAGCTTTTCCTGCCTGTGTGACACCACGCACATCATTCTATCCCCTGGCCACAGTGGATGGGCAAATGGGCACAGTTGGGATCTTGCCCTAAACTAAACAATTCTTTCTGAAATTATTTTCCAACCTAGAGCTGACAAAGTGGCATTGTCTTCATCTCTGTTGTAAGAACTTAGAACTTCCCAGAGGCATGTACACCCCCAGCCCAGAGAAAGCCAGTTTGGTAGGAGAGAATGCAGTAGGAGCAGTGAAAGATGCAAGAAGCAGGACTCTCATGAGTCCTGACACCATGGGGGCCCTGAGATCTGCTTGTCCCTGTGTAAACCCTGCATCTAGCCTTTCACATTATTCAGGTAAGTCGATAAATTATATTTACTTCAAACTAAATGTCTGTCAATTCTAATTAAAATAATCTTGGTCCACAGAAGATACTCTAATGCAGTAAGTGAAACATAGGCAAGTCAAAGGAAGTTTTGTTTTTAATCCAAGTTTATTACAATGAATGTCGAATATGTGACTAAAGGAACATTTATGCTTTATAATAAGAGACAGAGAATTTAGAGTTCAACATTCATACCACCCTATGAAGGGCAGGGAATATTTTTTAAGCAATCTCAACAATGCTAAATTAAATTGAACTGATCGGTGGTCACAGGGGAAATTAATGCAAAAGGATGGACCATATGTCATTCATAAAACGTCAGGGGGTTAAGTGATTGATCATGCTCACCTTTCACTCTTGAAATGACCATGTCACCCTTTGCTCCTTTGTTGCCAGGGAGTCCTAGGGCACCAGGTTTTCCCTGGGTGAAAAATAAGAGCAACATTATTAGGTTAACCATGATGAGTCAAAACGCTATTCACATTTGGGTATATCTAATCTCTCTTCTTTTATCCTAAATCTACTGTTAAAGATACTGGTTTTCTGGGCGTGATGACACACAACTGTAATTCCAGCACTCAGGAGGATGAGGTAGGAGGATTGTTGAGTTTCAAACCAATCTGAGTCACATAGTGAGACCCTGTCCTAAAAAAAAAGAAAGGAAGAGAGGGAGGGAGAGAGGGAGGGAGGGAGGGAGGGAGGAAGGAAGGAAGGAAAGATTCTGGCCCAGTACTCTTAGTCTCATCCCCTTTTCTGTCTTCCTAGATGATCCTACATTACAAGATGAAGGTTATTGGCAGTGAACGCTAAATAAAATCTGTACCTGAATTAATAGAAATGTATCATTGTCAATGTGCAGGTTTTAACAGTGTGCTATGGTTATGTAAGACACCATTGGAGCACTTGCCTAGAAAACACAAGGCTTGAATTCAAGCCCCAGTACTGCCAGAAAAAAAAAAGTGTTATAGCTGGACAATTGATGTGTAGCTGTCATCCCAAGCTATCCAGGGAGCTGAAATCCAGAGGATTGTGGTTTCAGGCCAGCCCAAGCAAGAAAGTTCATGAGATTCCCTCTCAATGGAAAAGGCTAATGTGGTGTGCACACCTACACCTGTCTTCCTGGCTACGGTGGGAAGCATAAAATAGGAAGATCATGGACCAGGCTGACCCAGGATAAAAATGAAACCCTATCTCACAATTAACCAGCACAAAAAGAGGTGGAGGCACGACTCAAGCAGTAGAACACCTGCCTAGCAAGTACAAACCCCTGAGTTCACACCCTAATACTACCACCACCAAAAAAAGAGAGACATCATTGGGGGAAACTGAAGAAAAGACTCATGGGAAATCTCTGTATGTGCAACTTCTTGTGAGTCTTCAATTTTCTCAAGTTTATAATTAAAAATTTTAAATTATCTTGGGTTTTGTACTGCAAAAAAGAAGGTGCATTAACCAGAAGAGCTCCCACAGATCAAAAGGTGAGTATAGGTAAGATTTTTAGTTATTGAGATGTCTACAGATTCGAAACATAAAATATATATAACAGCTAAAGCTAAAAAGAGGCACATTAAAATCTATCTCTATCTCATTTAACTGTAAACATTATGAGTAGTGGGAATTACTCACAGGTGGCCCTGGAGATCCTTTAGCACCAGGAGGGCCTGGGTTACCTTTTTCTCCAAGCCAGCCAGGGTATCCCAAGTCTCCTTTACTCCCCTGCCTCCCAGGAGGTCCTGGAGGGCCAGGGGAGCCCATGGGACCAGGTGTGCAGGCACAGAGTCCTTGGTTTCCTAGGCAGAGGAAAAAAGTAAGCTTTGTCATCTTTCCAAGCAAAATCCCTAGTACGGGCTTTCCTATACAAACCAATAATGTGACTAGTGAACAAAAAGAATCAGATGTATACAATTCTTATCACAGGCAACTGACAGCACGTTATACGGGAGCTGGGGTGTAGCATGGGGCAGAGCAAGGGTAAACTTAAGCATGGTCTATATGGGATGCATGTACAATATCTAAACAATGGAGTGTTTCATGCCTTAAGCTCATCCAGAAAGATAATATACAATTCAATGAAGAACTGAAAAGTCTTTCTTTGATTCCTACTAAATAAAGAGGAAAAAAATGGTTAGGGTATAAACCCTGAATAATCAAGGAAAGAAAATAATACATGAAAAGGGATTATTGATTGTACTGCATATAACTGCTAATTCACCACAAAACATTCCCTAATCATCAGGAATTTTAATCTTAAAAAAAAAAACTTTAGGAAAGTAAAACTCTCCAGTTGTATTTATGCTCTTATAACACCTGACTTAGTTGCTCAAAAAGGCTCCAAACAATTTAAAGTAGAGAAACATAGAGTCAAAGACATTCAGCAAATCTGGAAACTATGAGACCCACAGAGAGAAACTGGAATACAATATCAAATACTGACTTATCTACTGCTCCCAAGGAATCAAGAGGATCTTGTGATCAAAGTTATCACTTGGAGGCGAATTTCATGGCCTTTATACTCTAAGATACAAGAATTTGACTTTTTGGTGACTTAAGTCATATCATACCAGCACCTAAGGAAGGAGGCTACTCATTTAGGTACCTAAGTTGAGTAACAAATTGAAATGAATGTCCCAATTGCTCATCTCATAAACGTCCCCAGTTTTCCATATGTGGTTGTCTTATAGAAATTCTATCTCTGATACATGCTTACCTTTCTCTCCTTTTGAGCCCCTTCTTCCTGGTGGACCCATTTTACCCTTTATTCCTTGTGGTCCAGGGCACCCAACATTGCAATGTATCACTGTATGGTGGTAAGGGGTGGGCAGAGAGAATCACATGATTTTGGTAAATGTCTCCTACAGAATGAGTCTCTTTCACTTACATCCTCCTTCCTGTGTTTCCCCTCTCAGCCCCATGCTTCATTCCATTCTTTCCCTAGGATCCTCTCTCTGATGTAAAAATATGTACACATATAGATGATGAAATTGTCATGGCATACTTCTGCCACCATAAACATTGGCAAAACCATCTTACCCTCAGTCCTAAATTAGTGTGCTACAGCCCAAGGTAGTGGACAATTACAATGAACACCAAAACAAAGTAAATCGCCATCACATACAAAAACCACAGCCACAATCCAGTCAGCCAGTGGCAAAGATGTTTTCCCCTTCAATTATCAATCATTAAATTAACTAATAAAGAAAACAGGAAGCCTGACTTGCAAAGGCAAAAATTTGGAGACAACTTATTAAAGATGGCAGATAAAATACAAATGATAAATTGAACATTCTCTCCAAATTCCAGCGAAATAAAAGGCAGTAAAAGAATAATATAGAAAAGCAGAAACCCATAGGACAAAGGAAAAAAATTAATAGGTTCAGCAGACTCTCTAAATGCTGAAATCTAAGTAGGCAGTGGAGAAAGTTGAGAAAGAAGAAATTTGCATCAGAAATCCCCCGTGGAGTTGAGATAGTAGAATGACAGTGAGGTTCAAAACCAGATGCTTTGGTAAACATTTAGACAAGAAGACATCCTTCCCAAAAATTGTGTTAAGAAAAAAAAATAACAGCCCCTCAAAAATTGGAGGAAACAATACAGCAAGAAGAAAACTTTAAAAGAACACATCTAATCAAACTAGCCGATGAAGAGAGGTGTTTTATCCTGAAACATGAATGGGAAACATTAAAAGAGAGCAAGAGCAACAACAAAATGCTCAGAAATAAAAATGTATGTTAATTATAATTAGTTCTGATGACAGAAATCTAACAATTCAAGAGGAAAACTGGAAGGCTGAGTTGAAGAAATCTCCCCAAAAGTTACAGAAAAATAGAGATGAAGAGTAATCAGTAAAGGTTCAAAAAACACAAGTGAGACTGGTTTTTAACAGACAAATTCATATAAAGTCCAGAATTAGGAGGGAAAAAGGCAGGGGTAGAAAAGGGAAGAGAGTATCTTCAGAGAAATACCTGAAGAAATTTTTCCGGAGATGAAGGATGTGTTTTTAATTGAAATTGCTCAGTGAGTGCATACAAATAAACAGAAATGTTTCCACACATGGGTAAATTACTGTGAAGTGTAACAGAGTGAAAACAAAGAAAAGCTCCTAGAAGCTTCCAGAAAGAAAAACAGATTTCAAACAAAGAATCAAGTATCTAAATATTTTGAAGCTTCCAGTAGCAACACCAAAGGCTATAAAACAAAAGAGAATGCCTCCAAAATCCTGTAGGAAAAAGATTTCCAACTTAAAATTTTATACTCAGCTAAATTACCAAAATCCACAGTAGAATTCAGACAAGTAAGACTTCCCAGCTTTACTACCTTATTTATACTCTTTCTCAAGAAATATAAGTAAACTATTGAAAAAAATATGAGTTGTGGAAAACAGAGAAAGAGAGAGAGAGACAGACAGAGAGAACAGAGAGAGAGAGAGAGAGAGAGAGAGAGAGAGTGAGGAAGTTCTCAGAAAATGATGAAAGAAAGTTTAAAGGAAGTATCTCAGTAGCAAATCAAAAGTGCAAACTGACTTAATTTGAACAAGTCAAAAAGCTCCAGGAAAGATTTTTCAAAAAGATAACACTATTAGGGAATTCAACGAATTAGGATTTATAAAGATGAGATTATGTAATTCTGGGTGATTCAAGGTTAATAACAACTATACTGAAAATGACAATTTACCACATATTTTGCTGAAAAAATAAAGTAATAAAAAATGAATTATTATATGGCTTATCTGGTGAATAGCACTTACATTTCTATGAACAAAATTATGACAACAACTATCCTGACAGACGGTCAGAGTGGAGAATGTACACCTGTGCAGTGGTGAATGAATGCTCAAAGTGAAAAACGAAGGGACAGCAATACAAGCATGCTGAGTACAATAAAGAAACAAGAAAAGATTCGACTACATAGGTAGAATTAATTATCTCTAATTAACGGGGAGATAGGAGAAGGTGTTGCTTCGGATTTCTGATCTTCATAGCAGGCTTTGTAGAACAGTTTGACTCTTAAACCAGATCCAGATATAACTCTGATTAAAACTAAAAACATTTTAAAAATTATTAATTCACAAAATTTCATCATTCATACTTGAATCCCCACGTAAGTAATTGTACATACTTTAATCAAAGTGTTAGTTCACCTTACTTATTTGTAAAAAACTAGCTAACTGGGCACATGACGTATTATGCAACTTTTAAAATATTGGGAAGTTGGACTTTCTAAATGAATCTGCAACTCTCAAATGCAGTGTAAATGCTATTGAATGTAGACGAGGAATACCTCACCATCTGAGCCTGGGGCTCCCTGAAGCCCAGGTGCTCCAGGCAGGCCAGGTGGTCCTGGATTCCCTGGTTTTCCAAGAGCAGAATCAGGTCTCCCAGGAACACCGGCTGCCCCTGGAAGTCCTGGGGGACCATGCAAACCTGAAGGCCCAGGGGGTCCCACCATACCTGCAAGAGAATTAAGAATGAAAAACACACGTATTGCCAGAAAAAAATGTCTCTGTAGAAGAAATAAAAGATCAGGACATTCTTCCTTAGGTCATGAAGTTTTTTTTAAAGAAAATGGAGCAGGAGGACATTTTGCTCAGTGAAACAAGCCAGACACAGAAAGAAAAATGCTTGACAGAGAAGGCAGGTATCAATAACAATAGAAGTAGCTGATACATGGAGCCTTTATTATGTACCAGGCTGTATTCTAAGAATTGTTTCTATATGACATTTTTTTGGTGGCAGGGTCAGGGGGAGGCAGTATTGGGATTTGTTCTCAGGGCTTCCTGCTTGGTAGGCAGGCTCTCTACCTCTTGAGCCATATACCCTTAGCCTTTTCTTTGCTTTAGTTGTTTTTAAGCAGCTAGGGTCTCATGTTTTTACCCCAAGCTGACCTCAAACTGTGTTTCTCCTACCTTTGGCCTCCCATTGTAGCTGGGAATCACAGTCATAAGCTACCATGCCTGGCCCTCATATAAATTCGTTCAACCACACAAGACCCCAACTTACAGACAGAAAAAGCGAGGTACAGTGCAGGTTTAACAAATGCTCAAGATTCCACAGCTTGTATCTAGTAGAAATTGGGGTGTTTTAGTTCATACTGTAAATTCTTAAGTACTTCATTACCCTACACTATACTATGTGGTAAGTTATGAGTATCTGATGACTCCCAAACCCACTATCTAAGTGCCATATACATTGGCAGACTGAGAACAAAAGAAAACATGCCCCAGTGATTTGGCTGCTGTCTGGTCTTCCTGCCTTTCCTAAGACCTGACCTGGGTTCTCCAGTCAGTCACTATACATCCTGGATGTTGCCTGCCTTCTTGTCCCAGCACCAGGAAGAATGCTCAGCCACCTTTTGACAGAGAGAAAGGATTACGATGCGTGACACATCCCAGCATTGGCCGCTCAACAGTACAGCATGAGATCAATTAATTTGTGGCTAGCATTAAAATGTTTTTCTTTCAAAAGAAAAGAATGGAATAGAAAAAAATAGTCTGTATTATACACCAAAAAGGTATTACTTCGTGAGATTTGTGCCTTGATCAATGTGGATACATACATACATATGTTTGTGTAATAGCTCATAAATGTCATGCAAAATAAAACTCATTTCGTACTCTGGGTCATAGTCAAGATTTGAAAGCTATTGGGTTAATTTATTTGGGAAAGGCTCATGGAATTACAAGGCTTCTGTATATTTAGGTTGGATTCTGCTAGAGATCCTGTTACTCCCACTGGGTTTTGATTTCAGTCTGCTGGAGGCACTATTTTATTATAAACAAGGCCAAAAGGAGAAAGTTAAGATCAGACTCAAAATGTTTTCTAAGCAACAGAATATTCTATCTAACTTATATAATCCTAGGTCAAGTAACCAAGACTATACTCACTAAAGATTAAATGAAGTAGACAAAGCTTTTCTACCATTGTGGCCATCAGACCCTACAAAGTGAAAGCTAAATTTGCAGACACTTCAGCCAAAAATTTGTAGTTAGCAGCTGAATAGCTCAGGAAATATCTTAGGCCTTCTCAGTAAACATAACAAGAGACACAGGGAGGAATAAATTACATTTACTAAAGACCTTTCTCCTCTCAGGTTTAATCAGTTCTCCTGGGTTCACAGACTAAATATCCTGTAAAACTCTATTCCTGATCTTACTAGGAATATTAACCAGCCCAGTTCCCGAAGGAGTTCACAGTCCTTATGGCACTAGGATATTTCTGTAGGCTTTTCATCAAATGTCACTGTGACCTACAGTTTTCTTGGTTTTGTTTTTTATTTGTGGGGAAGAAAAGGAGACTGAATCCAAGTTTTATTTTTCAACAATGATTTTTAATTGCATATTTCATGTAAGAAGATTTAAGTTGGGGCCTAGGTAGATGGATGGAACTTTACAAGTAGATGTCAACAGGGAGAGATTTCCAAAATGGTAGGTAAATAGAGGAAACACTTCTAATCCTAACGGCAGTTTCATATCTTATCTCAGATGACAGTCTTGTGGGAGTCCTATTATACAAATACATTCCTTACAATACCTCTGACCATTTCTGAAATCCAGCTGAGGAAACTGTATTCCTTCCGAACAAGTGACTGAAACTTATAACTCAAGTAAGTTTGAGTTCTGTGATTCTTAGCCCTGGTAGCACTTTAGAAACACAAGGCCACACTTACAATAGCAGAGCTCAGCATTCTGGGTCTAGGGTGGGCACAGGCATCAGTCCTTTTTAAACAGCCCTAAGGTGACCTCAGTATCAGCTACCATTGAGGATCGCTGGTAGGGATGTGACATGGGAAATCTGACACATAAAACACAGTGGATTCATACCTGGACAAGCTTCCCCTGGTATGCCTGGGGTGCCTGGGGGACCTGGTGGTCCAATATCCCCCATTTCACCATGGTGGCCAGGCAACCCTGGGTCCCCTGGAGGACCTGTCAGAGATCATGACAGGTGTGAATAAACAAATATCGCTATACATTTTTAAATCTAGACACAAGGACTCTTTGAGACTTGGTAATGTACAGGTATAGTTTCTTCTCACATTTTAAGTGGAATATCTTAGATTAGATCCCCCTTGGCTGTCCTTTCTCTGTAGATGCATGAACTTTGAGTGGAACTTTCAGTCATTGATGTAGGTAGCTCCTTTCTCAGCTTTTAGTAATGATCTCATACATTTTTAAAGAAAAGCTACATTCTAAAAGATGACATAATAAAAATTCCAGCACAGTTTACATACTGAAATAACAGCTGATGTCTTATGATGATAGACATGAACCAAGGTGCACATCTCTCCCTACCCATGTATAACTAATGTCACCATACTAATGTTCATGTGTTTAACCTGCTGAATGTGCAAGCTGCAGGAATACTGGGTCAGACTTTTGTCTGGGCCACTAAATCCCATTTCTGTATAAATTGTAGCAGAACTAAATGGAACACAAACCTTTGAGTGGAACAGATGGAATTACCAAAATGCCTGGTGGTCCTGGGAGTCCACGGTCTCCAGGATCCCCCTGAAATCATTCATTCCTTTACTTTTCTTAGAAATAACAAAGTTGCCTGGATTAAACAAATATTAGGAAGAGCCATGGCCATATTCATTAAAGAAATAAAGATTATAGGATGGATGACTACATTACAGGATGGAATTCCACGAGGAATGAGATGAATTCAATATCTTACCTACAGGTACAAATAAGTAATGAACTGACAAAACTCTCACAAAAGAAAAAATTTCACACCGATACAATTATTGTATGCCCACAACCAAGTTTCTTAGGTGTACTTGGCACCTCTAGGACTAATAGTTTATTCACAGAGCGAGATCTGAATCAACATTTTGTTCCAGCAGTAAAATACTGTCTCCGTGAATCATGTCCCCTTAGTACTATCATGGCTTGTCCTGAATAAATGCTGAATGTGAGGTCATACCGGATACAAAGAAAAGAAAAAATGCTTTGGTGGTAAAAGCAGACAGCTTTGTCCAAGGTCCCTCTAGTTTTTAACCTCAATACCTTTAGATTCCATGTAATTTTTAAATTTTCATTATTATTCATTTTCAAAAGAACTATTTCTCAAATATAAACATAATCAGCCTTAAGAAGGTAATCAGTATGATAATAGTATTATAATATGGTAATCATGCATAATAATACCACATGCATTCAAACAAAACATACAAATTTAACTTTGTCTCTTTTGAAAGTCACATTTTTGTTTCTTTGAAATACTTTTAAGAATAAATTTGATAAAATTTTATCTTAAGTAGGCTCATTTTTTACCTTTGGGCCAAGAAATCCAAATAACCCAGGATCTCCAACCAGTCCTTGTTCTCCCTACAAACAGGCACAGACATGCATTTTTAAAAAAGTAAATGTGATCAGGTAACAAATCACTTCATTCTCATTTCCTTTGAACAACACATGCTCACTGAGACTGCAAAGTCTTAACACTGCTCCTGGGTTGCATCAGACAGTTTTCTGCTTTGTTTTTTGCACCACAGCTAAATCCTACAATCCATAAAATGAATGTGTCTGCCTTTCCTATTACTATAAGTGTTGACATGCAACAATTCAACTTCTGAGAGATTCTGAGCTGCTTTTACTAGTGAAAATGTATCTATCATCTCTACCATGTTGCATGCTTACCTTTAATCCTGGAAAACCTGGAGATCCATAAGAACCAGCGTTACCCTAATAAATGAAGAAAAATCAACAAGAAGAATTAAATCAAAATGCTTTTTTTTTTTTAACCTTACCAGGTTGTTTTATGGACATTTAGTCTTGTTTGCAAAGGCAAATGAATGAAAGGAAATAAATATGAAATAGATCCCACTTGTGATACTGCTCTGTTAACTGATCTTTAAGTCTTTTCAAAAAAATCTATGCCATTGTCAGTGTTTTGATTAAAGTATACATTTATTGTTACTACTCTCCAATGTTAATTTATTTAACTTAATATTTGTACTGAGTCAAATATCTTTGAAACTCTTGCAGTATATTTGTCAGGAAATTACGTTGCTCCATGTACATTCAACAACAAAAATGGCCATGGAAATCAATATTGCTCCATTCGGTACCAATCGAGAGTCAAACAACCTCCATGTCAATGCCATCTGGGGACTGGCCTCCACGGCGACTGTGTGGGACATCCCATTAGTGACACATGGGGGTGGTGTGTGGAGTCTGTGACACTGTTTTTCTGTTAGCTACTTCCCCTGGATCGGCACCTTGTTGTATGAAACACGCTTAAACTAACCTTCAAAGCACCTGTCATACTGACAGTGAGCCACAGAGGAGATGTCACAATCCTGTCTTTTGCCCCCAGATCTTCTGGGTCCTGCATGCCTATTTTATCTAAATGATGTCAACAGAAGGCATGCACTGGGACATTTAGATATCACACAATAACTGTGCAAATATATTGTTCCTGGGTGAGATATTTGCTGCTTTCAAGTGCAAGGGAAGACATAGCTGGCCTTATAAAAATGTGCAAAAGCAACACTTCAAGTCCACCAAAATACACAGTGAGTGATGCTTACCCGAGGCCCTGGGAATCCAAGAAGACCTTTCTCTCCTTTTGTCCCAATACCAGGCTCTCCCTTCAAGAGATGGTAACACTTAGAAGGGTTCAAGCAATGATATTTCACCAACAAGGAAAGCAAACACTAAATGAGAAAGGATCTAATACTGTCAGCAGCCTAAAGAGGCCCTACTGGATTTTAATAAGATGGTGAAAAATTAGTAATATGTCAGCATTTACAGCAATGATAAAGACCACGCAAAACAAAGTTACAAATTAAGATATCTCATACAAATTGGGGGAAAGGTACTTAAGTAAACTACCTTGAATCCTGGTGGTCCCGGTGGTCCAATCATTCCAGGAATTCCTTTTACACCCTAAAAATCACAATGAAAATAATCGGACTTCTTATTATTTATTTTTCTTTATTAGCAAACTAAATTCCACCTCTTAGAAATCGCCTCCTTCAATGAACGGTTTCATTGGTTCTGTTAATAAGAGATTAAATTTTAGCAACTAAGATCTAAGTAACTCTGATATTCTGATACTATTCAGGTCAGTGTGAGAAGTGTATGGGTTGAGAGGGGTGTGGAGATGGACCACCATGGTACCAGGGCCATAGATGCAAGCTTGGGACTGCAGCCACTGAAAGAAGTGACTCATTTTGAGCAGGATAATGGAATTTAACAAATATTCACACAGCCACACAGAATCTGCACGTGACATTAGTAATATAGGTGTTGGAGTCTGACAGGGAAATTAATATTTGCCTAAAGACTATTCTATTCCCAGCTGAATGCATCTGTTACCTTGTCACTTATCAGACCATCAAAACCATCTCCAATATCTAAAGGACAATTCTCCCTGTGGTCTCTTCTGTGCACATATCAAAAGAGCATTCAAGAGGCCCTATGTCATGGAGGACTTCTCGGTCTGCCACCCAGCAGCTAGGTAAACTTGAAAACAAGGTAAGGTTCCAAGCCTCGTTGTTCAATGCTGTACAGCAGGGCTAATATAATACCAGCCTGTTAAGGCAGGTTTGAGATGAATGTGACAAAGTGTGTAAGGCGGTCGGCACTTGCAGCCACAGGTACACGTGCAGAGAACGTTTTTCATTATTTTTACAAGGTGACTTTCAAATCGGAGGCTTACCTTTTCTCCTTTATAGAGGCAAGAGTCAGGTGGCTCTAGCAGCAGGGTGGGCCCAGGAGAACCTTGCTGGCCAACCTCACCCTTGAAATAAAACCAAGAAATTTAATACTAATTTGTTTTGAAACAAGACTTTCCTCATGTATGACAGTGTAATATGCTTCCTGGCCTGCGTGCCATGGATTTCACACACAAATCACAGCAAACACACCATGTGATCCAAAGTGATATTTACTGTGTGTAAATATTACATTACATTACTGTAATGTAATGTGTGGTTATGATTAAAAATAAATTTTAAAAATGAAATGGATCCATACGCTTATCACCCAGAATTAAACTCTTTATTAAAGAGTTGGGTTTGGTTCTTTCTAGCATATACGTGTGTGTGTGTGATATAAAGGTGCATTTACACATATGCACATCTCTACACAATATAGATATAGACACACACATATGTATACGTTACCTGTTTGTGATTAAATGGTGAGTTAATTTAAAATATAATATAATCAAATTGGGCATGGTGGCATATACCTATAATGCCAGCACTCTAGAGAGAGACAGGAGGATTTCAAGTTCCAGGCCAGTCTGGGCTATGTAGTTTTTTGTTCCAAAAAAAATCTGTGTATATAACAGGGCTCAGGGGCTCACGCCTGTAATCCCAGCTACTCAGGAGGCAGAGATTGGGAGTACTGCCATACATGGACAGCCTGAGCAAATAATTCACAAGACACCATCTCAACCAATAAAAACTGGTGTCATGGCTCAGGCCTGTCATCCAAGCCGTGATGAAAAGCATTAAATAGAAGCACATGGCCCAGGTCAACCTGGGCATAATGCAAGACCCTATCTCCAAAATAACCAAAGCAGTCAGGTACCAGTGGCTCATGCCTGTGATCCTACCTACTTGGGTGACTGAGATCAGGAGAATGGCAATTTAAGGCCAGCCCAGGCAAAAAGTTCATGAGACCCCCCCACCTCAAAAGAAATGGGGTGTGCCTGTCATCCCAGCAAAGGTGGGAATCGTAAGATAGGAAGATGGAAGTCCATGCCAGCCTGGGCAAAAGCGAGACCCCATCTCTAAAACAACCAGAGCAAAAGGGCTGGAGGTGTGGCCAAGCAGTAGAGCACCTGCCTTGCAAGCATGAAGCCCTGAGTTCAAGCTCCAGTACCACCAAAAAAAAAAAAAATGGGTGGCAGGATGGCTAAGTGGTATCACACCTGCCTAGCAAGCACAAGGCCCTGAGTTTAAAATGCACTAAAGAAAAATAAATTATATACGCACACATATATACACATACATATACACATGTGTGTTATGTGTATACATACTATAATCAGAATGCTACATAATAAATGCATGAGCACAATTTAAAATATACAATATAGCTTGTATTTTATTTGATTTTAAAATATATTTATGAGTATCTTCCTATTACACGAAACTTCAGGGGTTTTAGTGTCTATCAAATCATCTATTGTAAGAATGTACAATGATTTTTTTTTTTTTTGCTGTACTGGGGTTTGAGCTCAGGGCCTTGCACTTGCTAGGCAGGTGCTCTTCCACTCAAGTCACACCTTCAGCCTTTTGTGCTTTAATTATTTCCCAGGTAGAATCTGATGTTTTTGGCAGGGCCTGAGCTCAAACTATGATCTCTACCTCTCTACCTCATGGCTGGGATTACAGCCATGAGCCACCACACCCAGCCTATGGAATGTACTATAATTTATAACCAATTCCAGTCTGGTTAGATTTAGTTTATATTCAACAAAATTAGACTATTTCTTATTTACTCACCTATAGTAATATTTAAAAACACTCTATATAAAATAATTAGCCAAAAGTTGTTATTTGTGTCATTAGAGATACTACTCTCTTGTAGAAAAAAAATTCCTGGAGTTGATTTTGCCACAATACAGCCATGAATTCTCACCCTTAATTAGATAAGCTTTGTATTTTTCTGAATATTATGATTATTCATACTTTGCATCATAAAATCGTTTCCTTCTCTGAAGCAGTTAAGAACAGACAATGAGCCAGATACCTGTGTTTGCCACCCACGCCCCTCCTGGTTGTGTGGCTGTGTCACTTTGGACAAGATGCTTAAAATATCTCTCAGTCTAGTTTTTTAAATTCCTGTAACCATCACCTTCTTCCCTGTGAGATGGGGTTTATGATACTGTTTACTTCAAGGTATTATTTTATTGAATAAGTAATGCACACAAATGCTACTAAAAATACATGAAGGACAGAATGAATTCTCAAATGTATAATTATTAAAACCATCGTTTTTGAATCACTTGAAGAGTCACAGCTTAGCCAAATGCTTCCACATGATTCTAGGGCCTGCATTTGCAAATGCACCCAATTGTCTTGGCGTTGAAGGCCACCTGGCTGGTGATGCTGCAGGGCTGTGACATGCCTCAGGTGGGGATAGGGGCTGCTAGAGCTTGGATCAGTGTGTTCTCTGAGGTCCATGATGCCCCAGGTTTGAAAAAGATGGGTTTACTGTATTTTCATTCATTCATTCCTTTATGTCAGTGGTTCTCAACACTTGGACACCATGCCCCAGGGGACATTTGCAGTGTCCTGGTACATTTTGGTTGTCACACTCGGGGTCTATGGTTGTTACTGGAGTCTCGTGTGTGGAGATCAGGCATACTGCTAAACATCCTACAATCCACAGGACAACCTCCCAAAACAATGAAATATCGGGGGTGTTGAGGTTGAGAAATTCCTCTCTAAGAACTTCACTCTTTTGTTTCATTTTGTTTGAGACAGGGTTTTGCTATGTAACCCAGGGTGACGTCAAACTCAAGATCCTCCTGCCTCCCACCTCTCAAGTGCTGGGATTACAGGTGTATACCACCATATTCACCTGTAATGTCTTTTTATTGTTGCTTTTACAAACTTGGGTTTGTTACTTCTGTAACCTCTATTTTCTGCTCAACATTATATCATGATCATTTCCCTACATCATATCTGATTTTTCTTGCTAAGCATCCACACCAAGTGTTAATCCTAGCCTGGAATAATGTAGATGCTCAATACCTGTTTGCCCGTGGTCCATGGTTGTTGAAAGAGCCAGATACCTACTGTTGGACAGTCAGATTATATCCAGAAAAGCTACCAATCTTGATTTGCTTTTCTAAAACTTTTCCTTACTTTCATGCTTCCATAGAAATGACTGTGGGGGTGAGAGAGGGAGGATGGAGATAAAAGATGCTCATGGTTCCATTTAGCTTAGGATTTTGATGCCAATTTGTGAAATTAATCCATACTAATCAGTAATTAAATCAAACTGTTACTCTGGATATTTTATCAAAAATGCTAAATCTCTTTTTGCCAGTATAAAATATGTCCTATAAATCAACTTGAATTTAGTGTTAAATTTTGCCCAAATTGTCATTTTCAGTCAAGGGTAATGGTGCCATAATAACTCAACAAATAGAAGTTCTAGCCATAAAATTGGGCAGTGACCAGACAGTGAACACAAATTAAATAATAACCAGAACAGCCTCCACAACTAGACAGAACACACAGTTTACAAGACAACTGCTCCTCCATGCAAGAAGGGGTCCTTACTGGGTCTCCCATTTGTCCTTTCACTCCAACACCAGGATTTCCCTGATAAAGAGAAGAAAATAAATCTAATTGCTCTTGAATTTTAAAAATGTAATGAAAACTTCTGGCTATGCAACTCATTGTAGTTTATTTAAATACTTTGGGAATTATGATAAGTGGAAAGATACAATTCTGACAAAATTAGTAGTCAATTCTCAATTTCATTGAGAAAAGGTTCTGTATATGTGTTTTATTCAAGACCTACCTTCAACCCTGGACTCCCAGAATGGCCTGGAGGTCCCTAAATCAATGGCAAAAACAAACAAACAAACAAACAAAAACATCAATTATCAGCCATAGATCAGAATATGTCCTCATTGGTGGCCTCAAGTTCCTAGCTGGGAAACACTTGATTTTAAAATATGTATGAAAAGAAGATCTTACAGAATAGAGAATAGAATAGTGGTCACCAGAGGCCGGGAAGGCTGAACAGGGGAGAAGGCAGAGAAAGTAGGGCTGAGTAATGGGCACAAAAACACAGTCAGAAGCATTGAGTTCTAGTGTCTGGGGCACGCAGGGTGACTATACACAGTGGTAGTTTATTATCTATTACAGAATGGCTACAAGAAAGGTTTTAAAGAAATGATTAATGTTTGCAGTAATAATTATGCTAATCACCCTGATTGCATCATTACATTTCCATGCATGTTTCCAAATATCGCACTGTACCCCATGAACGTGTACATTTATTATGTATGAATGAAAATTTTAAAACATGCACAATGGACTTTTTATATTGCATTCACTATTGTTGTTTGTGAACCTAACGTCAGTGGCCTGCATTAGGGAAAGGAGGCACCCGTGCGTCTAGATGGATTCCTGCCTATGATGTGGGCTTTGCTGACTCATCAGACTGAGCACGCAAGGGGCCCACCAGCACCTGATCCAAGACTGTAATTTTTTCCTTTTCACTTTTATTTTAATGTTGACACTGGATTTATAAAGGGACAGCATTGGCAGTACTGTACTTACTGCTAACCCTGGTGGGCCACGATATCCCATGGGGCCTGCTGGTCCTGGTGCACCCCTAGATCCCTAGATGGGCAAAAATCAGCACATTAAAACACTTCATAATCTTCTTTCACAGTAGGAGCTGCACTGCAATCCCAGGTAGATAAGAACCTCTAAAGCAAGCAGCTCCCTCCACATTTGCTCAGCTGGGGCATCTTCAGTAGGGGTGAGGAGAGCAGCACTCCTGGAGGTGTGACAAACTGATGTCAGGACTCAGCTAAGACCTAGAAATCAATGTACTTCTTACAAGTAATTCTTGTACCAATGCCATCTGAGACTGAAGAAAACTTATTGCTAGCTTCTCCTAAATTCCATGTACATTATAAATTTTATATATTACCATGATTCTTTAAAATAATAGTATTAGTTAACATTGCTATTTAAATAACAATGTATTTGTACAATGTACTTAAATAACAATGTATTTGTCCTTTCTAATATAATTTAAAATGTGGCCTATAAGACCAATGTCATTGTTGTCCCCAAGTCCGGTTGAAGATGGTTCAGTCATTACTATGACACAACAGCACAACAGCATACACAGTGGCAAGAGAAGGTTATAGACAGGCAACCCCGGAAGGATGGAGAGAACCCCTCTACTCTACTGCTCAGGTCAAATGATTTGTGAGTGTAAACAGTCACGTTTAGGATGATGAACTGGTGTTTACCTTAACAAAGACAGCAAGGGCATCTCATTTATTATACAGGACCAAACTTCAACAGTAGTTAGAAAACCAACCCGGGAAAGTAATTCTGCCAATATCCAGAAGTTACAAAGCAGAATTATAGGTTAACCACTGGGAGGCAAAATTGTTTTCAATTTTAATCCAGCAAACATTGATAAATTGGAAAGACTAATATACGCAATGAATTAAAAATTTCAGGAAGATGAAGATAGGTTAAAATGCTAAAAATAATATTTGGTCACTGATTTGGCAGGCCAGAATGGTACAGAAATTTAGAGCAAAATAATTTCCACTCAATGTATTTATGTAAGAGGTTGATGTATGAACATTACACAAGGAGTTTCTAAGCAGATTTACCTTCCCAAGTATTAAGTGTCTGCATGTACCTGAGCAAGGCCAAAGGATCATGAAGTGATACGAAGGTAAGAGGAATCTTTCTGAGATTTGAAGGCTGCTCTGTTATATGCGAACTGTGCCATTACACATGGATTTGATGCTCTGCCGTTGCCATCTTGAAATTATCAGTAAGTTTTTGAATAAGGCACCTACATTTTCACTTCATAGTAGGTGGGCCCTACAAATTATGTAGCTGGTCCTACTGGGATTAAAATCTAGCATGGATGGTTCACTATTTGAGAGGAAACAGAAGCATGTAACCTGCTCAGGAGACTTACTGGTAAGCCTGGTAGTCCTGGGTCCCCTCTGTCTCCCTGCAATAATAACAGTATATTGTTTTACAACAGCAACACAGTTTTCCTAAAACACAGATGATGCCAAAATAAAAATATGCACGGAATTATTTGACCAGTCTAAATGTGTAGTTTTTTCAATTTTTTTTAGTGTTGAGAAGACAGCTGACCAGGTGATTTCCTTTCCCCACTCAGTGGGGACTGAATGAGATTACTGGGATCATGACAAGATAGAATTAAGATGAGCGCTAGTTTAAATTACCCTAAATTCTCAACCTGTGGCCCCATTTCCTCACATCTTTCTGGTCTCTGGTCTAATGTCCACAGCTGGCCTTGCTCCTTTGGACCACCCTAGAGTGGTGTGAAGGGATCTGTGGGAAAGTTTCTCATACCAGTAACTCTCCAGATGTAGTGCTCATGGCTCTGCTCTACGCTGAGATTCAACTGCTTTAAAGGATCACACTGTGCATATTCTCTTGGATAAAGTCTCTTTTTAATGTAAATTATATATAAGATAAAATTTAATATTGAACCATTTTAGTAGTCATTTCTGTACATTAAGCACATTCATATTGTTAACAACAACCACCATCCATCTGCACAGCATCTAATCTCCTTTAATGGACACTCTGAATCTGTTAAATACTAATTTCCAGTGCCCACTCTCCCTAGCCCAGGCAATCGCTATCCTATGTTCTGTCTCTTTGAATTCGAATATTCTAGGAACCTCATATAAATGGAATCATACAATGCTTGTCCTTTTGTGAATGGCTTATTTCACTTAGCATGATGTCACTGTGTTATCTGTATCAGAATTTCCTTCTTCATAGGTCAAACAGTATTCATCTCTATGGATACACACACACTGGCTCTTGTTTATACATTCATCTGTTGAGAGACACTTGGGCAGCTTCTACCTTTTGGATATCTTGAATATGTGACCGTAAACAAGAGTATACAAATATCTGTTTGGGTCTCAGCTTTCAATTCTTTTGGTTATATATGCAGAAGTGAAATTTCTGAGTCATTTGGAACTGACATCTTTTTTACAGCAGCTGTATCATTTTACAGTCCCAACAGCAATGCATAAGGATTCCAAGTCTCCGCATAGCTGACAAGACTTGTTAGCATTTTGTTTGTTTGTTTTTTGCCTTTTATAATAGCTATCTGAGTAGGTGTAAAGTCAGAATAGACTCTAAAGAAAGAATATTCTACAATTGACAAAATGAGTTGTAGATTTGCTTTTATCAGACCACATCTTGAAAATATACTCTCTCCTCTTAAATCATCATTTCTACTGATCCCCTTTTACTTATCCATGGCATCTCAAATTCACCAACCTAAGAGCTTATTTCTGAATGTTTGTACATGACTCCCCGCCCAAACTACAAAACCATTAGATTTATCAAGGGAATTTTCAAGTTCAATAGTAGTGGCTTTTATTATACTGGATGAAAAGTATTAATCTTAGAATACTTTAACTACAAATGAATCAGTGGTCCTCAACAGGGGGTGGTTTGCCCCCCAGGAGACATTTGGTAATGACTGCAGGTGTTATTAGTGAGAGGAGAGGGAGTCTACTGGTACCTAGAGAGCAGAAACCAAGATTGGCCTGCAGTTTGACATCCTGTAATGCTCAGAACAATTCCACAAGAAACGATTATCTGAGAAGCTTGAGAAACCCTGAAATAAATGTGTCCTTGCAATTCTGAATGGTTAAGAGGTACTAGAATGCTACAGCTACAGTGACTAAGACCAGCACTTTCACACAAGAAGCATGATACCATCTCTGTGTCAAAGTAATGACAAAAACACAGCGTATTCAGTGGCACCTTACAGGAAATACCCGCCCATGTGTTTTCTGCAGGGTTGACCTATTTGAGAAAAAATGTTTTAAACACACAATGATCATAATACTTACCTGAATACCTTTAATGCCACCTACAATGAACACAGAGTTTCCTTTTTCTCCATATTCCCCAGGAAGGCCCTAAAAATACAATATTCAGTAAGAGGAAAAAGCACATTACCATTTCAGGGTTGTCTTTTCTATGTGCAATAAAACTGCCATTATAGCCATTTTACTGGCAGAGATTTACATCTTCATTGTTTATCCTCCTAAGGTTCTCATGCACATTTACTCAATATTCAGCTAGACTGTTCAATTAGGGAACCCCCCAAAGCAGAGTAGCCACTAATATTTAGTTATTTACTAATTACTCAGCAATAAGACTGCATTTTCCTTATAATATAGTACACAGGCACTATTTTTCTAAATGCCCAATTTTGTGACTTTAATTAATACTTTAGAAATTACTATTTCTAAAAAATATTCATTTTAATCCATTTTGGTATTTGTATTCAAAATTAAGCTCATATGTCTTTTGTAAGACTAACTTTAAAAAAAAACATAACATGTTCCTTTTGGAAGGTTTCTGTGAATAGCTGCTGGCTTGCTTAGGGTATTTTTAAAAAGTAAGTGAAGCTCTTGGGGATATACCCAAAAGACTGTGACACAGGTTACTCCAGAGGCACCTGCACACCCATGTTTATTGCGGCACTATTCACAATAGCCAAGTTATGGAAACAGCCAAGATGCCCCACCACCAATGAATGGATTAAGAAAATGTGGTATCTATACACAATGGAATTTTATGCAGCCATGAAGAAGAATGAAATGTTATCATTTGCTGGTAAATGGATGGAATTGGAGAACATCATTCTGAGTGAGGTTAGCCTGGCCCAAAAGACCAAAGATCGTATGTTCTCCCTCATATGTGGACATTAGATCAAGGGCAAACACAACAAGGGGTTTGGACTTTGAGCACATGATAAAAGCGAGAGCACACAAGGGAGGGGTGAGGATAGGTAAGACACCTAAAAAACTAGCTAGCATTTGTTGCCCTTAACGCAGAGAAACTAAAGCAGATACCTTAAAAGCAACTGAGGCCAATAGGAAAAGGGGACCAGGAACTAGAGAAAAGGTTAGATCAAAAAGAATTAACCTAGAAGGTAACACCCACGCACAGGAAATCAATGTGAGTCAACTCCCTGTATAGCTATCCTTATCTCATCCAGCAAAAACCCTTGTTCCTTCCTATTATTGCTTATACTCTCTCTACAACAAAATTAGAAATAAGGGCAAACTAGTTTCTGCTGGGTATTGAGGGGGTGGGGGGGAGAGGGAGGGGGCGGAGTGGGTGGTAAGGGAGGGGTGGGGGCGGGGGGGGGAGAAATGACCCAAGCCTTGTATGCACATATGAATAATAAAATTAAAAAAAAAAAAAGTAAGTGAAGGGCTAGAGGTGTGGCTCAAGTGGTAGAGAGCCTGCCTGGCAAGTGCAAGGCCTTGAGTTCAAATCCCAGAACCACCCCCCAAAAACAGTTTTAAAAAAGTAAATAAATACCTCATTGTATCCCCCCGGCCCAGGCTTTCCTATTTACCATCTTAATCTCCTTCTTAAAATATCTTAATTCGGTTACCACCTAATAATTTTGTCTTCTTCATATATCAAGCTCCTAGGAAGAGCATAAAACTTCAAAGCTGATTCTACTTACAAGAGCACCTGCCTCTGCTTCCCATGGGAAAAACTTAATACTAAATTACACCAGCAAATAGTCAGACTTGCTTCTACCAGCAGTCCTGGCTCTGTACAGTTCCAGTCAGTATGAATTGCAGTTCCACAGTTAAATCAAATAAAACTAGTCCTCTGGGGTTCAAATTTCAGTCCCATTGTAATGAAAATTAATGAGTAATTACATAAAGTACAAGCTTCACCTCTAGTTCTTCAATCCACAAATCACTACATAAATAACAGAGGACAATTCAGATCACTGACTGATCACATTACTTCTTTCAAAGCCAAAGCCAATCAATCATGGACTGGCTAATATGTAAACCAAAATACAAATTCTCAAAAACAAAAAACCTGTCTGTGATTGCTCATTGTACTGCTATTATTCAGAGCACACAAACAAAGCAAAGTATGTAGACATACTTTCTATTTATCTCCCAATGATAAACTCAAATGCCATTTACAAAAAATGGAGAGAAGAAAGAGAGAATTAGCCGTCAAAGATGAAAATGAAACATATACATGAAAAAAAGCAATGATGAAAGTGAAATTCAAGTGGAACATAAGTGAAGAGTTATAGAAGAGACAGCCCTCAGTGGGAATGTGGAAGACTGCTGTAATTTGAGAGACAGTGCACACAGCCACAGCAAGACAGGAAAGACCTTATCAATGTCAAAGAGGAAAGTGGTGTGAAGATCTCCTGAAGGAAGTGACTCAGGGAAAACTTCACATTGAAGGAACTCTGAAGACAGCTGTGGTGGTGCACACCCATTAATCCCAGCTACTCAGGAGGTGGAGGCAGGAATATTGCAAGTTCAAGATCAGCCCCCATAAAAACAGCAGGAAGACCTTGCTCAAAAACAAAGCAAAACAAAGGACTGGAGGTATTGCTTATATGGGAGAGCACTTGCCTAGCATACACAAGGTCCTGGTTTCAATAACCAGTACTCCAAAGGAAACTCTGTGAGACATTTCACAACATGAAAATTGTTTTTCATGCCAAGGCATGAAAAACGTGTTCATTTCATTTACTATCATAAATTATATGATGAGAAAAAGGCAAGTGCTGTTTAAACCCCTCTTGATAAGTTTTTACAAAGCAATGAAACACTTTGATTCTCAATGTTTCAAATTACAATGTACTGTTTTTATTTTTTCATTTCTTGATGTATTTATGCTGTATTTATGTATTTTGTAGTAAGACAAAACATTTTAAAGGTTGTAGAATAACAGTAATTTTTCTCATTGGTTGATAAGGTAGCCATTCTCTCATTATGTGCAAATGGAGGACTACTTCTGTTTCAAAAGAGACAGTTGCTTTGCAAAGAAACCCTTGTGACAAACCCCAGTACTATGGTCAGTGCTACATGCTATGTCAGAGCTACTATCTATCGAGAATCTCTGCTCTCTTGAACGTCCCAGGTTCAGTAGAATGAGACTTGGTCCAATTTGAGGAGCTTAAGAAACACTCACTTGAACGTCAAATGTGCTGTTTGAGAGCAAGAGGTGGTTGAGAACCTTAATGATGAAGCTGGTTGTGGTTCTTATGATACCATAAGAAAGATGTGAGCCTGAAAATCCTGGAGTTCTGTGTTCAGATCAATTCCTCTATGATCTGGAGCCAAAGGAAGACTTGTGAAGAGAAAGTGGATGATCCTCATGGCAGAAGGCATTTGAGAAATGATATTTACTGAAGGGAGAAGTCCTTGCTAAAGTTATGTTTAAATAAAACTCCAACTTTGGTGGGGTCAGTACTTGAGTTTGAACTCAGGGCTTTGTACATGATAGGCAGGTGCTCTACTACTTGAGCCATGCTCCCAAACCTTTTCTCCCTTTAGTTATTTTTCAAATAGGGTCTTATGTTTATGCCTGGGCTGGCTAGACAGAGATCTTCCTATTTAAGCTTCACACAGAGCTGGGATGCACACCACATACTCAGGTTTTTTTATTGGTTGAGATGAGGTCTTACTAACTTTTTGCCCAGGCTTGCCTTGAACCATAATCCTCCTGATTTCCACCTCCTAAGTAGCTGGGATTACATGCATGAGCCATCATTCCAGCAAAAGTCCAAATTTTTAAAGAAACAAAAGGCCAAGAGCAGTAAATTTGTCCTCAAGTGCTGAATACTGTCAACTGTTTCTGAACATCCCTTTCTAACCATTTCTAATTTATATTCTTGCATAACATGTGGGTACAAAGATAAAAGAATTTGAGCTGGATGTGGAGGCAGATGCCTGTAATTCCAGAACACTGGAGGCTGAGACACGATGAGTTGAAGGCCAGCATGGGTTACAGAGCTTGGGTTATAGAGCTAGAATCTGCCTCATGAAAAACAAAAGAAAAGAAAAGAAAAAAAAAAAAAAAACCCTCCCACATTCCCCAGAGTCCTTTGTAGCTAGATGTGAGTTAAGTTCCACCTAGGAGATGTGGAAGGCAGAAGTGAGGGAAGAAATCCCCTTTTGGTCTCCTGCCAAGCAGAAAAAGTGAGTGTTGTTTGCTGGTGTCTGGATGTGGGGTAGTGCAAGAGCAATCACCTGACTCTGGATCTGGGCTATGTGTGGGATTCTGGGATGAATAGCCCCTTGTTGGCCTCTGAATTCCACTCCTGCAATCATTATAATAAGGGCAAATACTCTGCATTAAATCCCTTTATGTTTGATATGCCTACTGAGCTGCAGTAAATCCTGAACGATAACAACATAGGTTTTGCTAGCTGGCCTCTCTGCCCCCATTTTCTTACTTGTGCAGAAACCAGAGACATCTTAACAAAACATCAATCTGATCATGTTGCTTCCTTCCCTAAAGCTATTCAGTGTCCCTGTCCCCGTGGATCTACAAGGCCCCACACATTCTAGTCCTCTCCACCTCTCTATTCCCTTCCCCAGCTACACCTATTTGTTCCCCACGCACCAATTCTGTTTTTGTCTTTTTAATGTACCATGCCTGCTCCTACCATGAGGCCTTCTCACTCAAGATTCCTATAGGCTGTCCTATGGGGTCTTACTGGGAGGCCTCCTGGACCAGGTGCTCCTCCTTCCCCTGGAAACCCGGGATCACCTCTTGAGCCATTGTAGCCATTTACACCAGACTTGCCTCTGGGTCCGGGAGGCCCTGGGTGACCCTACAGGAAACAAAAATGTAAGTGATGGATTTTTGTGAAGAAATTGCACACAAAGTTTATACAATATAGATCCCAAATTATGGCAATTGTGACTCCTGTGGTTACTTGTTTAATACTGTGAAACTTCCTTCCCTGTCTAAAAGTGCTATGTAGCATAGTAAAACTAAAACTAAAAATCTTATAAAATATCCAAATTTAAATTAATGTAGTTTGGATTATTCTAGGAATTATTGTGAGGAAGTCTCTCTCTAAATCCTCAGACTCTAATCAATGATTTAGTCTCCAAACTCCTCTTCATTCTTCCATTTGATTTTCATATTAGAAGTACAATGTCAGGACTTAGCAGAAAGCAAACTTTTATTATGAGCATACATTTGTTTCCAGAGCATTGTACTTGATAAGACAATATGTCTAGGTCAGATTTTGGAAAAGTTTTCTCTAATTTATTTGAAAATCTTGCTATTCACGTAAAATGTTTTGGTTTGGGAGTTATCATACATAATTAAAATGCAAGTCCCCTTTAATAAACTAAGAGGAGAAAACAAAAAAAGTTTGCCTAATATGTATACTTTCTGAATATGTGGTTTTAAGGGTTCTGATGAGTGTTTCCCCTTCTTTAAAACATGAACAAAATTTGGGGATACTTACAGGTATACCATCCAAACCTGGAAATCCAGGAATACCAGTTGGACCCTAAAATTCCAAAATATAAAATGAAGATATAAAAATTACTAAATTATTAGATTCACAAGTAGATTTACCTGAAAATATGAATAATCAATGACTCATATTTTAAAACCCTTGGTAGTCTTGCCACTTGGTTTTACATTGGTAAGTTTAACTGCCAATATTTAAGAATCAACCTTTCATACTTTTTTGTGTTTACTTGGTGGTACCAACTCAAATAAAGATTCAACATGCAGTAAGTCAGAATTCAGCTTCTCGGAATCTCTCCTAAACAACAAACTCTTCAATGTGAACATAGGAGTTTACAGGATTGTTTTGTACACTGGTACTATACTAAGTTGGGGCAGAATTTCAAATTTTCATCATTCAGATAACTATCTAAAATTATAGTTTTATCCATACTATGGTATACTGTGCAGCTTTTTAAAGGAATAAATTTAACTGAAAAAATTAATACAAGGATGATCTCTAAGCCATATTATTAAGTGAAAAAAGAAAGGCTCAGCATGATATACTTAATATATCATTTAGGTTTCTAAAAAGCCACCAAACAACACAACTACTTAGTGGTACACTCTTGTAGATTTAAGTGCGTAGAAAATGTTAGAGGGGTAAACTCTTCTGCAAAGAGCTTGGGAATAAGGACTGATTATTGCCGAGGAGTTTAAACTTCCTTTATGACAAGGTACACAGTGCTTGTGATTGTAGAAACCCCAGCACAGGAGGCTGGCAAGAGGGTAATGTGACTCTCACTGAAGAAACATCTCACCTTGTCTCCTTTCTCTCCTGCTGCTCCAGGAGAGCCACTGTCACCTCTCAGTCCTTGCTCTCCTGGAATCCCAATGGGTCCTTGGGGGCCCAGGGGCCCTATTGGACCCTGTGGTCCCAATGGTCCTGGTTGGCCCTGAAAAGGAATGGGAGAGAAACAAGCCATAAGTAGTGTCTTCTAGCACACACTGTCACTTGGGTCTACAGAAGACTGGATGGTTAGATTTGAGCAAACTCTAACAACAGAAACACAAATGATAGGTTTAATACATTAATGGAATCTATAACATTGCTTTTTTCAGTGTAAATTTAATACACATGACTTATATATATATGTATAAGTGTATGGTATGAGAGTATCTGTGTGTGTGTATGGGAACATGTATGTATAAGCTGATTATAGTTCTGTTACTGTTTTCATAGTGTCAATTGCATTTATAGAGTTTTCTACTGCTTTATGAAGCATGGAATCAAAATTTTCCAAAATATTATTCTTATTATGTAACCAACACAAATTAAGAGTGAGGGAAAAACTGCAATATTTCTTAAATATTCCAAATAGCTCATGATTTGTATGCCTTTTATCTGCTTTTACCTAATTTCTCAGTCATAGTTTGGACCCAGGCTCCCCATGTTACATTATATCCATGTAATCCAACTTCCTGTGAACAAAAAGACCTCGTGCAGGTTAAACCTTGTGCAGTCATTTCTTTCCCTGAGCCCACAGTGAAACATTCTGTCCCAAAGATGAAGAACTGTCTGCTCCCCTTTCTACCTGTTCTCCATGGCACTGAACACCCATAGTGACATGAAGTCAAATCATGGCTTTGCTCTGCATTTTAAACCCTTCCCAACTTCTCACTGCATTGAGTGTAAACTGCTGCCTCTTATCTTCAGGGCCTTAGAGGCCCTGATCTCCACATGCTGTGCACATAGCCACACAGCTCCTCCTATCTTAGGGTCTTGCTTGACACAGGCCTTCTCTCTGGGCAGCTTTTCTCCAGAACCTTCACAAACTTAGATCTCTGCTCAAGGCTACCTCCACAGAGGCCTTCCTTGACTCTCCTTGTCAAACAGGCTCTCCATCCCACTCCACCACGTTAGTCTCCATCACAGGGTCTGTTTATTTCCTTCTTAGCATCTTAGTACTTCATTTGTTTGAATTATGCATTTGTCCATTAGTTTATTATTCACCCCACTACTTAAATGTCTATGAGGACAAGGATATTTGTCATGAGTTAATTCTATCATGTACCCCAGTGTTTGCCTATAGAAAGAAATTTCTTTTGCACAGATAAGGAATGGGTGGACCAGCAGGGACAAGGTCCACAGGCTTGTCAGTCCAAGCCTGACTACTCATCCACATTAGACAACTTTTACCTATGCCCTTCAGGATTAGGAACATAATTTTTGAACTTTGAAAAAAGCAATTTCATCAAAATGTAATCTTCTTGACTTATTTATTCATTTTATATATTCAAATTTCTTCACTTTTTATAAAATAACCAATGTTTCAGAAGGAAGAGGCTATTTGAAAGAATGGAAAAAAATCTAGAATCAGGGTTTCCAAGTGAAACTCTTAGACTCAACATTCAATCTATGTGTAGAATTTGGGTAGGAAGATCAATGTGACATTTTTAAGAACGTGCTTGGCAGTCTTAGGATAAAACTCTTGCATTAAATAGAAGAAAGCTTTATACAGAGCTATTGGTAACAAGGCTGTCACCAACTCATGCCAATTTGTCTGCATAACACCATACACTGCAGACTTGAATGAGTTCAGTTTTATTTGATGCCCAATGCAGCTCAGAAGTATCTCACTATGGTTTGAAAACACCCTTGGTGTTCATGTGATGTTGGGCTGCAAGTTTTTGTGATTCTTAGAACATTTTTTTTCCAGAGACCTAAAAACTGCTTTATATCACTTTGCCCCCCCAAAGCAACATGATAACTGCATTTGATGAGCAAGTGAGTCTCAATAAGTGGATAGAAAAATCAATGGATTTCAGGAGATATCTGCCCAGACCACATCGCTTAAACTTCTTCAGCAAATACATAACTCCCTCTTGGGTGTTCAGGTTCCTGGCCAAAATATTTCCCGTGGAGTCCTATCTATATAAAACTTTGAGTCATCTCAAATTAGTGTGGCATACCCAACCACTATGGCTGCCTGTTGTCATGCACTCCCATGACAGAATCACTGGCAATTGGAGTGGTGTGGTAACCAGCCTGAAACCAGGACTAGCCAGGCGGCCCCAGACCAGTCCATAAACATGAATGCCAGAGTAGTTCACAAGGCCAACTCCACAATGGAAAGCACCCCAATGGGACTAAGTGGTAACTGAGCCCCAACAGGGTGTGGTCCATACCAGGAGGCCACCTTAGGTAGTGCTGCTGACCATGATCAGGCCCAGACATGCAGAGGGAGATGTAGTGAGGTCCTGAGGCCTAGGGTCGTAGGCAGGGCCCCAAAACAATAATACAAGAACATTCACCACAATATGGTTTGTAATAGCAGTAAAAACTGGAAATCCTTGGAAAATCCATCAATTTGAGATTGAGTGAATAAATTATGGCATTGTTTTACAACAGAGCATCACACAGCCTATCCTGTCTGGGTGCCAACAGAAAATACAGAGGACAAACAGTTAATGAAAGAGGCACAGGTAAGAAACAGAATAATGCAGGAAGGGAGAGGAAGGCAGCCCAGAAAGGTGCAGTACCAATCCGTTTCCACCATGGACAACTGCAGTTTAACTCTGAAGGGACCCTAAGAGGACTAAGTGAGGAGGATTCACCTAAGAGTCAGTCTCCTGACAGGACTGAGTGAGGAGGACACATGAGAGTCATACTGCCCAGGCTCTGAGGTTAGGGCGTCCTCTCATTGACTGAGAAGCATGAGTGGTACATAGGGAGTGCCCAAGGGCTTCAGGGACTTTCAAAAAAGCCTGCAGACACAGAAGTACAGAAGAAGGTGGCTAAATTCCCCAGAGCATGAGTACTGAGGAGACTGTGGGGCACGGATGGCATTGCAAGCAGCCATTAAAGAGACAAAGTGGATTGGCCTGGGCTGACATAGAACATCCCCATTGTGCTCACGAGAGAAGAGCAGAGTGGCTGAGCATTGGGCTCTGCAGTCAGCCCTGTGCACTTGAAGCCCAGGCCCACACATACTAGCTATGTGACTTTGAGTGTGTTTCTTAATACCTCTGACCCTCAGCATCGTCCTCGGCTAATGGCTTATGACCATAAACAGAACAATCCATGAGAAGTGCTTTAGCAGTGTCAAAACAAATGCTAACTATTGGTATTATGGACCATTATTACAAATGGGTAATCGTTCAATGAGCAAAATAAGCCACAGAATAGTATATCCTATGATCTCATTGTGCAGGAGCAAAAGCACAGGCATTTCCACTAAATATACATTTACAAACGAAGACTTCTAGAAGAATATAAAATATAATAGCAGAAGTGAGAAATGCAAGCCAGGGCAATTTCACATTTTACTTTCTGTGCATTTTATAATCAGCAAATGCGACCTTTAGAATAAAGATTAATACCAATTTCTCTCTCACCATTAAGTCATTGACTCGACAAAAATTGTTGAAAACCTTTAGCATCTGCCTAGATTTCACAAATCAAATTGTATTTCATGTGTATCTCCCTTTACTTGTCCATCCTCCTCATAATAGTTACTATTTATTGCAAATTCATAAAAATACCACAGGCTTAGAATTTTAAAGGACTCAAATATATAAATGCCTGCCACTAAAAAGACAATAACAGAATATAAAATATAACCATATGGGCACAAACCACTGGAGGGCATTGTGAGGGCAGATCAATTTACAATAGATGTGATGTAAATTCTAAACTACTATCTAAATGTAAGAGTAATAATGACTTCAGATGACCTTTAATGACCTATGTTAATTAATTTTCCTTTTAAGTAAGACTAACTAACATACATTTAAAGGCTTCCATTTTTCTAAATATTAGAGCCAGGAAACTGCTTTTTCATTAAGTTGGGCACTTGTCTTTACATTTTGCATGTAATTTGTGTATAAACTCTCCAAATTATCTCCCAGGAACATAGTACTTTACAATAATGTATTATTTCAATACATAACAAAATTCAGCTCAAATATCCATGGGTAACTGAAAAAGAGACAGCCAATGAACTGGTTATAAATCTCTTTAATGTATTTCATTTCAGACATGCAGCCCTGAATCCTGTGAGCTAATGGAACTTTGCAGAGGAAAAAGGAGTGGAAATGTTTAACACAGTGGTAAGAATGACGAAATTCCATTTAGCATAGTATAAAAATGTGTCCTGATTTGACAACATGTCATAAAAAAAAAAAGAAGGAAAGCAGGGAATGGTTGTTTGCATTGTGAAGGATGCTGATTTTCCCCCTTCGCTCTGACCTCCTTACTCCCTCCCTCCAACCTGCCATACGGACTGCTGGCCATTTGTGGACAAGCTCTGTCATTCACAGCTTTCACATAACTGTCCTGTTCCAGGCCCCATCTCTGAATGACAACCTGTCAAAGCTCCCATGGAAAGATTCCCTGATCTCATGCTCCCAACTTCAAGGCCTCCCCATCCTCTCTACCTGCGTGCTCTTTCCATCCTACCCTCCTAGACCATAGGCTCCTGGAGGACAAGCACAGGTGTCCAAGATCATGATGATAAGAAAGGCAGATGTATCAGACAAATTTTTGTTACTATAATGAAATAACTGAAGCAGACTACTTTGTAAAAAAAAAAAAGACATTCATTTTGGCTCACAGTTCTGGCAGTACAAAGTACAAACAGAATGGTGCAGGAAGTGTGTATCTAACTCTCTCTCTCTCTCTCTCTCTCTCTTTCTCTCTTCTCTCTTTCCTTCTTATAAAGTTACCAGGATTCAATCTTTGTGGCTCCACCCTAGTGACCCCCTTAATACCATTAACATATGACTTTGGGGATTAAACTCCTGCCTGGGGAGGGCACATAGTCAGACCATAACAGCAGAGAACAAATGCTTAGTAAAATAAGAAGGTGAGCCCGCTCTCTCACTAGGAAAGACGGGTGTAAATGCTCCATGTCTCTGAGCCACTGTGCCCAGACACTGGTGTGCAGCAGTTCTG